TACAGGGTACGAAGGGGATTCCATTGGACGATATTTAAAGGTCCGAGAGGGTGAACAATGTCGAAGTGTTAAACAGAACTCGTATTAGGGATTTCAGTTGGGAGATGTGCGAAGACGAAGTCAAAGAGACGGTAAAGAAGGGAGGTAATAAAGTGCAACAGGGAGGGAAAGGGGGCGCGTGTCTGCTCGACTCGCGTTTGACGAGGCAGAGGCGAGACCCGACGCAACCCCTCGACGTTCCATCGCGATTCCCTTGACAGTTAGCTCCGCTAAGACGGATCGTAAATTACGCCAATATTTCCGCGAAATCCTAACAAGATTATAAAGCAGATTGTAGCACTGTTCGCAGCGGCGGCGACTGCTGCCCTCTCCTTTTTTCCTGCGGACCCTTTCTCGGTGTGTGGAACGAAGGGCTAGAGCCCGCGTAAGAAGAAGAAGGAAAGAGAGAATGGTCGGTGGTGCTAAGGGTGTTCACGGAACGGGGTAGGAGCGGAAGAGAGATCTATTTATAATACGTTTGCGTCTTTGCAGGGGCCCAAGCCGGTGGAGGCCGTAAATGTCGCGTGTATTTCATATGAAACTCCACCCCCTCCCGGCTATTCCTCGCAATGCCAATCTCGGTCTTTCGCTCCTCTGATAATACCGAGCGCTAACAAAGTTAACCCGCGCGGAGAGGCTCTTCCTTTTTTTCCCATTTTCTGCGTCCACTTCGTGCTCCACGGCGACGTTCCTCGCCGTCTACTCTCTCCCTCGTCGTTTCTTTTGTCCGTTCGAGGATCGCGGAGCACGGACGGGAAGAACGCTATTAAGCGGATACCGAGTGGACGATATGGTTCGTTGATCTCCCAACCGAATACTTCTTCGGAGAGATTTTTTGCTGGTATCGTTGAATAATAATTGCAGCCAACACTTTCGCAAGTCGTATAAGAAATCGAGATAGTAGACCGTTGCGGGACAAAACTCGAAGGGAAGGTAAGCGATGCATGGTTCGGGGTATATTCCGTCGGCAGTTTATTCGATAGATTCTAGGGTCGCCACGCGAGATTCCTGGAAAAGTCGTTTCGCGCGCGACCGTTCGGCTTTTAAAACAGCCGCGCAGGCCTCAGTTCCTGCGTCGGTTAATAAAAGCCTCCGACATAGTCGATCGTTATTAGATCGGGCACTCCCCTGGCCCGCCAAACCTACCCGCCCAATATACTTCGCAATAACCCATAAAATGCAACATTTTGTTTCGTATACCAATTATCCCCTCTCTGGTGTGCGTCGACGGGTCGGTTGTGCTTCGTTTCGGTGCTATCGTCCTCCCATATTATCGAACAACGTGGACGAACGAAAAACAACCTTGCCATTACCTTCGAGTCCTAGAGCCTGTTTCGCGATCGCGCTGTCTCGTTAACGTCTGTCGTTCGAAACGTAGAGCGATTCGAACAGGGCCAGTGGCGTTTCCTTCAAAGTATCGCGTCAACCACGGTACACGTGCCTCACGTCTCACAATTAGTCGCGCCATTCTCTTGACGATTGACGTAAAGTTAATTCGGCATGCACGATAGGTGCAAAAAAAAATTATTCGAACGAACTCGAGTAATGCCTCTTGAACGTATACGAGAACGTCCACGTTTGCCTGTCCGATACGAAGCTGAATTTGCTGAATATGCAGTGGACAGCGAGCAGACAGATAAAGGAACATTAATTTTTCACGATAGCGTGAAAAACCACAGCCTGCCATTATGTTATCGTCGCAGGTTATGCTTCGTGAAATGCGTCGAGCGATAGAATCTCAGGGTTATGTGCATAGGCCCGCAACCGGTCGGGATACCTCGAGAAACATCAGGAAAGTGTTCAAACAACAGATATCATCGTATCGGCCGAAATCGAGTCCTTTCGAACGGAACTCGATTTTCGCGCGAATGAAAAAGGTTAATGGGGGTGAGCGAGCCGGGTGGCTCGGCATGTACATCGCGCCAGTTTCGCCCACCCCCTCCGTTCTCAACGAACCGCGTGAAATTATGAACAACGATAGTACGTAACACGTAACGCCTGTACGCCAGTCGAATGGCTACTTTGGCTGGTCGAAGCGAGCATGCAATGGCCACCATTGCGGCTCGCTACGGCTCGAATGCGCTGGCGGGACACGGCCGCGACGGCGGCGGTGGCGGCAGTCATTATAAAAATAACTGCTGATTGGACGCCCTACCAAGAAAAGTCGTAATCGCATCCTGAAATGCCTCTTCTCTCTTCCCTTCGCCTCCTTCTTCGCCCGTGGTTCCCTCCGTTCTTCTCCCTTCGCCATTTCTTTCTCCTTATCTTTGCATCTCTGTCTTCCTTCTTTGGTCGCGGATTTCTGCTCGGTGCCGAACAATGAGTCGCCCATCGCCGCCTCCCACGCCTTTCTTTCTGTTCTCGGGTTCTCCAGGACCTCGTCTTTCGCGCGACGTCCATCACGGTTCCGTCATCTGGCCCGGTTATCGCACACGAAATGATACGTTTGCTGTTTCTATCAAAGTAAATCCACGTGAAAATAACGACAAGATCGTCGCAACGTTCGATTCGTGTGGCTGCAATTGTAAGATGACAAAGTCACGAACAAAAGCGTGAACCGCGTCGGTCGACATGCACGGGCTTTCGAGTCCGCAGGTTTGACGGAGCTGCGGAGTATGGGAGGTAGGGAAGAATCGGGCGCCATTTTGCGAGCGCAGCTTTTATCGCTGCGCCCTATATAGGAGCATTATGCCTGGGTTGCCGGGTTGCGCGTATATCAACAATAATTGCAGGGCCAATAATAAAGCCGGAGGGGCCACGCTCGATAGCCCGAAATTGCTGGTTCCCCTACCCCGGTCTGCTACGTTTTATTGCCTCCACTCTCGAGAGCAGAAATGGCGGCAGCCCCTTTCGTCCTTCTCGATGGCGGATAAACGATCCTGCGATACGATGCCACGATGGTAGCGATGGGCGCTCGGTGTTCTTTCTATCGCGAGCTTAAAACAACATTCTCCCGTGTTTCACGTGGTTTCACTCTTTTGGCATAGTATCTAGGACTTATCTAGCTAGACATTTGATATCACCTCGGTCACACTACCTTGATCAGGTTTCTGCAAACAACATTTTAAGAACGAAACACAAGGACCACCGTAATAAACATATTCTCCTCTGTTTTATCAAGTCCAACTAAAGTTTTTTCTTGTACAACAAGCAAATAAATAAATATTAAGGCGATCGGTAATGCGCATATCGAAGCCGTCGCTAACCGTCTCGATGGAAGTTTGCTCGGTTCTGTTGAACAGGGTGAGCATACCGAGTCTAGTTATCTGCCTCTCGCTATTATTATTATTACAGATACTGCTGCCGTTTCCGCGGCCTTTTCTCCTTATTATTCCTCTCGCTGGGGCTGCGTTGTTGTTGTTGGTGGTGTTGTTGTTGTTACCTGGTGGTGATACTGCTGCTGTTACACCGAGGTGTTTCGTACGAGGAATCGTTCGTGAGCTCGTAAAGAGCCGCAAAGGAGTGCTCGCACGCGCGATAGTCACGAGTATTGCCCTTGTTAACGCCCCGTTAACTCGAACCTCTGGACAAACTCGTAAAATTTACCGGCTTCGAGCCGGCGAGTCTACCACGCAGTGTACACGGCTGCCGGTGTATTTTCGCGTGACTTTAAATCGTGTTGGAATTATGCATTTAGTGCGAACGTCCACCTGAACGTCGCGATGCGGGAACTTCTCACCTTGATCTTCGTTCACCTCTAGGAAGATGTCGCGGTTGAAAAGAAAGAAAAAGTAAAATCAACGAGTTCGAATACCATGCATCGAATAAGCTTTGAGTAGATCTCGTAGTAGTAGTGGCAAAGAGTGTTAACGTATCTATCATTTGAAATAAGTAATGAAAATATCCGATGTCGTGACGACACCGCGCAGTTTAACACTTATAGAAATTCGCGCGTTGTTCCGGATCATTTTAGTCCGTGCGCACATTTTGAAAGCATCGCGTCGGATTATGGTAACGCGAAAGCTCGTAAAGTCGACGTTTACGTATATGTAGAGATAGTCGCGAACGCGTCGCTACTGCTGTTAACACCCCGTTAACACGAATCTCGAACAAGCTCGTAAAAATTCGACGTCACGGTGAATGCGTCGACTGCATAGATGAAATCTCACGGAGTTATTGAAATCTGTTCGAACGACGGTAACTAACCGTCTCTTAGCGCTCGTCTTGCAATCTTAAAGACAAGATGCGCCAGTTACCCTAAGACTATTTATTTCGAGGATTACGAGAGGATCACTCGGGATTACGAGACTTTCATCGAATCGAACACTTTGACCCTTGGTCCTATCCTTCCTCTAGACAACCCTTCTCGTCCAGCGTAGCTTGTCTTTTGTCTGCTATTTGCTGCACACTCGCGTACGATACAGGTAAGGAGCTCGTAAAAGCTACAGCGCTCGCGTGATCGTTACGAATTCGTTATTGGTCTTGTTAACGCCCCTCGCTGGAAGCCTTGGACAAACCTCGTAAAATTTCGTCGGTGCACCCTGTGCGAAGCATCGTCGAAAATGCGCCAGAGTCGATCACGTGACGGATAAGGAGACCCCGAGGTCTCGCGTACGGCGAATTTTACTTCGAACCGAGCGATACACCTTCGCTTTAACCCTTCTCCAATCTTTTTTCTCGGTTTATTTCCCTCATACTTTAGGCTGTAATCACGTGGTCGCGTTCAGGATGCGGCGAAGGTGACTTTGAGTCGACGATGAGAAGCGACATCGATCGGAATGATACGACTATCGTAAATTTTTTCGTATCGGTAATTTCGCAGAACTTATAATGCGACGTCAGGGTTTAGATCGTATTTTGTTTATCGCGCGACTCGGTCTTGTCCACTTTTTGCTGCCCTTGATGCGGCAATAAAGCGTACACGTCGAGTTGCAACGCGTGCAATTTAACGCTTGAACATTCTCACATTTTTTACGACAGATTTCGAGCGTGTTGTACGTAACAGTCTGTTTTACTTTCAGGGACTCCGATCAATCGGTTACCGATTATGGCGAAGTCGGTCCTGGACCTGTACGAGTTGTACAACTTGGTGATCGCCCGAGGCGGGCTCGTCGACGTAATCAACAAGAAGCTCTGGCAGGAAATCATCAAAGGCCTCCACCTGCCATCGAGCATCACTTCCGCTGCGTTCACTCTGCGCACCCAGTAAGTAGATCGTGAAGTTTCTCATCCGGGACCCTATTCTACCCGTGCCTATTCGCTGGTAATTCGCATACAATGAGTCCCCGCGTTCGACAAAAGCTCATCTGAGCATGAAATCTGCACCGATGACTAAGAACCCGGTCTTTTATGTTACTGCGCTTTCCGGAGGAGCTGTCCGTGCCGCGGCGCTTTTTCTGCAATCAGAAAAAAAAAAAAAAAGAGAGAAGCCTGACCGTCGGCGTCGAAGGACACCTCGGTCCATCACACAGTTTCCTCGGTTTCGTTCCCTCGAACGAACGAAAGCAAAAGCGGTCAGGCAATTCCACGTGCCACGCGTTTACTCACCGAAATCGATACGAGCGCGTGGGAGTAATCAAAACGAAACAATATAGGCGGCACGGGACCTATCGGAAGAGACATCAAAGAGTGCTCAATGTCTTCCGTACAGCCGTTGTTTGTAAAACGCTATCATCATTACCGGTAGCGAACACGAATACCAAGGTGGATTGTTTGTGTGCTTAAAATGGCGGCTTGTATCAGGAGCAGTGTGTTCTCCGCGAAACAAAAATATACAGTGCGCCGCGGCACAAAAGAAGCTCGGCCAGGAGGGAAGACACATTATTAGCGTTCCTGGCCATGCTGGGAACACTCAGAACCGTGGAAAGGCCCGAGAGTCGGCGACGGCTCGTGCCGGTTTAACCCCATTCGTCACCTGCCAGAGGAAGTCGACGGAACCTTTCCTCGCCTCGTCCCGAAACGAGTCGCCGAGGATCGAAGCGGTTGTCAAAACAACATGTCCATTCGAGGCTGGGATTCGGCGAACGTGGTCGTTTCGAGCTGTCCGCGGCGGAAGTACTCGGAAAAATACGAGACAATTTCTCGGAATCAAAGTCTGCCCGAGGCTTCCTCGGCCAGTGTTCCTCGACTATTATTAGTCGGGGCTTCCGTGTGCAAGCCGCGGCTGCATGCAGCATTATTCCAACGTTACGCCAGCTTTGCGACTGGCTTCGTCCGAGATCCCCGCGGATTCTGTAAACTTGACGGTGACGGATACCTTTCGGCTCCCGTTACCGGTCATCGTCCGCGTTACGTTTGAAATCCCGAAGCCATCCTCGCGATCGATTTCGAGCAGGTCGAAGTAACAGACAGAAAGTTAATACGAATTCGACGATCGGGTATTTTCGTCGAGTTATTCGCATCGCGTCTAGACGGATGATGAAATTAATCGAGGTGCCGCAAAATTTTGTCTCGACAAAGAAACCGTTTCGTCCGAGTACATCTCGGCCAATCGAGAAGAAAAGCAAACAACGATCTTGAGAAGGCACGTGCGCGGAACAGTTGTTTTCTTTCGCGTTTAATCGTCTTCGCGCGGACGTTTTGACGTACCGAGTTTCGTGGTTTCGACGAACGTGAATCATTTGCCGCGATACGCATTCGTTTACATAATGTCGATTTACTATCGCCTACTGGGAAAAGCGTTCGCGGTGTTTAAAAAGGTGTTAGTGTTTATGCCGGTTAATGCGCGCAAAAGAGACGATGAGCGAGGAGGGAGGAGCACAACAGATTATAAGTAGTGCAAGCTAATACGAATTACACGTGAAAATAGCGACGCCTGTGCGTGACGCGCGACAGAACGTCGAGACGCTGGTGCACCCATCATTCCACCAACCGGTTATCTCCGCCAGAGAAACAGAGACAGACGGAGGAAACGAAAATGTAAAAGGAGACGCCGGCTGCCGCAACTAGTAAATCGCGATGCTACGACTATATCGAGCCCCACGCGCCTCCAACGTGTAATTATTTATACCGCGAGGGAGGTAGTCGCGCTATTGTGCCGAAGGATACGCGACGCACACGACAAATTTGATACTCGCTGTCGGACCAACGCGGAATGAATTATTTCCAAGGGACGACGATGGTCTGAAGACGCGCTTTGGGTAAAATTGTATCGCTGAATGGAGGAAGATTAACGACCCTGGGCGTTTCGTGGTAACGGTGTCCCGGTAACCTGCAAATAATACGATTGTAAACACACCTATCCTTTGATTCTTGTTCGAACGAATTGTGCTTGCCAAAAACACGAATAGTTTCGTTTAACGGATTATTTATGGTCCCGACAATACGGAGTAACGGGATTCCGCTCGAACAACTTAGAAACAAATGTTCGAGTATAAACTGTACAAGAGTTTCGAGATCCAACAAATGCGAAGTCTGTGCCAGCGTTGCGTCGAGAGCCGAGTGAATGTAGTAACGACGACATACGGACCGCTTTGTTCGAAAACCTCCTCTTGGAAAACGTCTCGAACCACCAAGAAACTCGCAGTAGATTGAGTCCTAAGGAGATCAAATACCGGCAGGTCTGATCAATCACGGTATAATCTCCTTCCTGCCGCTCTACGGTGCTGTGCCGTCTACGGTACGTAACTCGGGAGATTATGCCGTACTTAGTCAGACTCGCGGGCCAACTCCTTTCTCTGCGTATTGAATGATTTTTCATTGGAAGTAGATCGATTTTCTCGACAGATTCTTTCGACCGAAACAGCGGGAATTTGGTTATCACCCAGAAAGAGAAATTTATGCACGGCACCAGAGTCGCACACCTGGTCAAGGACACGCGTGCATACTCTGGAAGCTGAGGAACACGCACTAGAAAGAAGAAGAAACGAATGAAGGGTTCGCGAAGAAGGGAACGACGAGACCGAAAGGCTAGTTTCGGCCGCAGTCTGGCAGACAATCGTAAAAGCCGAACGATCCCTGTGCGAATTATAGGCCACGGTTCGTTGGCGAGAATATGTCTATTCACGAACGTGTGCGCGAGTATCGCATCTTTCCTCTCGGTTGCCTTTCGTGTCGGCTAAGGACTTTTCCATCTCATCCGATAGAGCGTTAGAATAAACAACAATTCTCGTTGCGATTTCCCAGATGGTTTTCAGGTATCACCAAGTAAGTAACGTGTCGCGTATCTTACACACCTTGCAATCGTCCTGCGAACGAGTTAACCATCCGTTTGCTTCGTCGTAACGAGTCTCCTTGGCGCGATTCGTTAAAGCAATTTAGAATAAGATTTCATTTCGGCTCGCATCGCGTAGAATAAACAACTCCTCGGCACGCGAGAAGGTTAACGAGCGATTCGGTTTCCAGCAGGCTCGGCCGGTTCTCGGTTGATAAACGAACGATTCTCACCGCGAACGATGCACGATGAGCACAAATTATATTTTTTCTTATCAGAAGACACTTCGCGCGACAAACGTAATTTTTTCCAGATTTCTATTTGCTTCCTTCTTCTTCTTTTTTTTTTTTTTTTTTTTTTAAATATTCACCTTTCAGAGAGAATTTTTGTGCTCACTGTGCGACGCGGGCGCCGCAACGTTGGTGTCGAACAGGTGTACGTGGCGTTTTCGAGGCCGAGCATCAAAGTCGGCCTAGTATTGCGCTGGATGCGAAATTAAATTAAGCGACTGATACGCGTCGTCCGGATCTGCCTTGCCAATTTCACGTCCGACGAACTGCGACGTCTTCCTCCGTTTGATGCAGAATTCCATCTGCGTTTTGACGCACTTCGAATTAGTAACGCACGTTCGTGCTCTAGCATACAGTTTTGTCTCGTTGGACTTTTTCGATCAGCGCTGTCCGAATTTGCGTTCGTCGAGTGACCTCGATTGAAACAGATGAAGAAAAAAATTGTCGCGTTTCGTACGATCAGCTCTTGATCTTTTTTTTTCCAGGTATATGAAATACCTGTATCCGTACGAGTGCGAGAAGAGACGATTGTCGACGCCAGCGGAGTTGCAGGCAGCGATCGACGGAAATCGTCGAGAGGGTCGACGAAGCAGCTACGGAGCTTACGCGGGTGGCGGGAGCGGAGGGCCTGACAGCTTGGTGCAGAGGAACCCGCACACTCCCAGCTCCCTTGCATTACACGCGCAAATGTCTCCGTTGTCATTGGTGACAGCGGTGGCAGCCGGTGGTCAACATCACGGACCTCAGTCTCTGGTGAACGGAAGCGCCGCCCATACGCCTCTGCCTCACCATCCGCATCACCCGCAGCATCCTCAAGGACCACTGGGACAGCCTCCGAATGCCGGTCAGTTTTTTCAACTTCGTTTATAGTTGTTGATCAAATTCTCGAGAAATATTTGCGAGGCAAATTGACGAAAAATTGGTCTTTCCTTTCATTGGTAGTTCAATTTCCAAACGACAAATATTTGGTCAACACTTATTAACGAATTACAGCACCAAAGACGCAAAAGTAGAATGAACGAACGACGATTTATATCAGTCTCCGCGGCCTAATGTACGTCCGATGTTCTCTCTGCTCCGATGGGAACCAGTAGCTCGAACGGAGAAAATTAGAAAGAAAAAAAGTTTGAAACAGGGGAATCGAAACGGATGGCGGAGGGTCCGAATGAAAAGTTAGCGCCGCGCGAAGAGATAGACGCGAAGGGAGAAAAGAGATACCTCGAGGACGGAGTAGAAGAGGAGCGGGTTTATTTTAAATCGGTAGTTAGGGTTCCAGGCCTCCCCGGAGATGATGATGCGAGAGCGAAGGAGGCGTAATTGATTGTACGATCCTCCGGGAGACAGGCGTTAACGGATGACTCTCGCTAACGAGCATTCCTACTTCCCTACCCCTTTCTTCCTCTTCTTGTCCCTACCATGAACCACGTTTCGCCCCTTTCGCCCTCGTTTGCCACCCTCCGACGCACCATCGGACCAATTTCAATCGCTCCCTACTCGGTCGGTGATCGCCGCCCCTCGGATTTGCGTTTGCGTCGAATTCGTGCTACCTCCTTCGGTAATCTATACGACGGACACTTCATCCTCCTTCCTTCTTCTTAAATGATCCATACGTCATAGGGAAACGTATCAAGTACGCGAATCGCAATGTCCCGCGACGGTGATCGGATAAACAGAGTTCCGCTGTATCGTGGTAATTTTTCTTTGAAGCAATTAATGGTAGGTTCCCTCGTCATTGGTCGCAGGACCTATTCCCGGAATGGCGCCGTCCGAATTCGAGGCACGTATGGTCGAATACGTCAAGTTGCTGAACAAGGAACTGAGGAGTGCTGGTGCGGGCACACCACCGCCGATCATTCATCGGCAAGGAAGCGCTTCTCCGCCGTCGTCGACGCCACCGAGAGACGCTGGAGCTTTCAGTGCCCTCGAGATGTCTCGACTCACCCTGTGGAATATGTACAACAACAATACCCTCTACCCAGGCGTTGGTCACCAACCGCCTTTATCGCCTCAGGCCTCGCACTCGCCCGTACCTCCTGCGTCTAGCCCGGAACCTCAAAGGGAAGCCCTCGACCTTGGACTCAGGTAAGCATAGAGGGTCCATAGTCCACCAAATAAGCCTCAACGGTATCATCACAGTCAAGTAACGGGCGAGGGATGTTTCTAGTGCGAATGTTTAGAAGAAATTTCTTTCAGGTCATCACCCGTATCATCGCCGCCGGCGAGACAGAGTTCGCCCTCTTCGGGTGGTAGCATGCAAGTGAAGAGGGATCCGGAACTAATCAGCACCCCAGGACCTCCGCCAGCGAAGAGGTTACTCTCGGACGACGACAGCCCGATTGAAAAGAATACTCCAACCTCCATAGGCACGCACATTAAAATTTCCAATCGAGGTAACAGGCCTTGGATTTCCCAAATCTAGGTTTAGGGAGAAAGAATCGACCAAAACTTGTTTTATCTCTCTTTACATCGTAATTGTACAGGTATCCTTGTAAGTGGCTAAACTTTAACTTTATTCTTGATCGCAGGTGATGGGAGGAATGGCGACAATTCCTTGGTAGTCAGTATGGAGCTGAATGGAGTGATGTATCAAGGTGTTCTTTTCGCTCAGAGTGACAGCAGGATCGCGACCAGTACGGCAACCAACAACAACAACAGCACGAAATCGTCGCGGAGCATTGTCTCGTGAACATCACCATACACGCTCACACACGAACACACATGCACCCTCATACACAGACACACATACACACAGCCTGGCTGCAATGAGTTTCGATACTTAATTAGCGATCGTAGCATTCATCAGCAGTGATAATAACCCCATCACGGGCGGTCGAAGCAGTCTGCCATACGTTCAGGCACTGATCGAACGATGTTCCCAATTGTACAAATTTCTTAACGCTATTTCTTTCGAAAAATCGCCGAGATATTCGGTGTGGAAGATGATTGGTTTTCATTTAATTTGCGCGTCTCATTCGCAGGACGTTCAGGGGATCTTTCCTGTACTCTATCACGAATCGATCTGCTCTCAATGTTTTACAAATTTCGGAATTTTCGGGTTCACGAGCATCCTTCCGAATTCGTATTGTGATAATAGTTGGGCGTCCAGCCGGTCATCGATGCTTGCCCGAGTTCTTATTCGTCTTTTCGCTTATCTCATTGTACACGATAATTACGTGTGCTTTTTATTTTCAGTCAATTTTCTTGACGACGACGACGACGACGACGACGACGACGATGCTAGACGAACGATGAATCGGACGTTCTCACCGATTTCTCGTCCATTCGATCAGGTTTTCGCATTTTCGTTATTTCGTTCAACTACTAGGTTGGCGCAAAAATGACCTTGTTTTTTTATCTGTTAACTTTGCAACATCATCACACCGACCCAATATACTTAACATCTACACATACATACCAGATCAGGGAAATGTATACACGCAAAATCGATCAGTGGTAGCCTGCTCCAGCTTCGACGACGATTTAATCGTTATATCGTGCGAATAGTAATGTATGTATGATTTGTGTGCAATGAAAAAAATATGTATTTTCTTTTAAATTTTATTTCTCAATGCCTTGCATTCCTTTCGTTCAAGGAATTCATGGGAGCGTCGCTCGCCAATGATCTCGTATATGTCTTTCGTCTTACTCGATTAAACGTTACACGTTAGAAAATTAAAATAGAGAAAATGATAAAAGTAATGTTGAATGAACGACGCGGCCACAACTGAAAGCCACTCTTCGAAAGTATCTTGATCGAAAGCACTCGACCAAATTGGAGTGACGCTCTGCGAAACGAACTTCCGAGCTGTACCGAGTTTGTCCTCTTTTATGTTTTACCCCTCTATCATCGAATCAAAACATCTTAACTTATTTATTGCTGCCGATTAAAAAGCTAGGGCCTCGTTAGATTCTAGAAATCGGCTCCTTCCGATATTTTATAGCATTTTAAATCAATACGTGTACAATTGTTTTTACCGCGATTATTAATTATCATGTAACTGTGAATGCCAGAGCAAGGATGAGAGAGCAAATGTATGCATGCGTGTATATATAATTATATACACACATACGCGCACGCACGTATATACATAGAGAGAAAGAGAGAGATCGCCCATCTTATCGTTCGCTAAGTGTATATAATCATTCGAACTTTCTTTTTTTTTTTTTTTCGTTTTTTTCTCACTTGCAAGGGACAGAACTCAGTGCGACTATATACGAGAGCATAAGCTGTTACTATTCTTTTTATTATTATTACTGTTAGATTTAGAGAAAAAGGAAAATTTGTGTATCATGATTTTTATTCCTCTACGCAGAACTAATTCTAATTTTCGTCTACCGTCTCTTTCGTCGCAGATCTTATTCGGTGGAACGAAAAGACCACCGTGGTTCAACTCTACCCGCTTCTTTCCTTCTCTTTTACTTCTCGACATTCTCGTACCAACCACCACGTTCTATTTGGCGCGAGAGGAACAAACGTTAGTCGAAGGCATTTACCCTTGCATAAGATTCAAATGTTCACGTGGTCTTTGAACAGTGGACGACGCGTTTATCGACGACGAGACTTGGACCAGTTCGATACGTTGTGTACCACGCGACAGGGCTCTATGAACCGCAAAACCCCGAAAAAAAAAAACAAATTTATAATTGTATAAATAAATTAGAATATTAATCTTACATAAAACTTAGTATGTATACATGTAACGCGCCGAAAGAATCTTGGCAGAATGGACATACGCGTTTTTAGAGACAAACAAACAGACTCGTATTCGCGAGGCGCTGAGGAAGTAAAATACATCCTTTTAGTCATAGTCGTTAGGATTAAAAGATTTAGCGAGGGTAAGATATTAGCAATGTAGAACGCGCGACAGTAATAGGATGAGAAGCATGTAGAAAGAGAGTTCACGAATGTTCACCGATCTCTGAGTAGACGGCGGAAAGAATGAGAAATAATAGTTTTCGATCATCTTAGGTGATATACGTGAATCGATGATAACGATGCAGACGAGAAGGGATGAAACTGTTTTATTGTTTATAGTTCGGAGGTTAGGCCAAAAAGACTGTTATATAGGATGAATATTACATACATATGGTAGAAATAATTTCTTATCATGATTATTAAGAACGATATTGTTGTCATCGTCAATATTATTATTACGACTATATTTACTGCTATTCCTAATCATTACTATTAGTATTATCGCAGCTATTTACTATTATCTACTTGTTACGGCGTGATAGCGAGTAACGGTTCTAATACGAGTAAAAAATAAAATAAAAAATGAACTTTTCGCGTGAAAATGGTGGTCCTGGAACCAATGTTTGAGCAACCATCTTGGGATTAACCCTTTACGGACATCCATTTTAGAGCAAGATGCTAATCTTCCACGGTTGGATATATACAGGGTGTCCAGCATAAATTGTTTCAAGCTGTTTTCTTAATAAAGCTTGTAACACTTTATATGGGACGACATGTAAAATCTGATTAAGCGCATGTATGCGTCGATTGTCCACAAAGGATTAAAATCGATTCAAGGTTTGCCTTTCAGAGGTACTCTAATATTTTTTCGAGTGGTGCTAAGTTTGCCCTCTTCATTTTTGGTTCGTTCAGAAACCGAAAATTAATGAATGGAAGGCTGACGTAAAGGTATGATATCAAAAGTGTAGCACACCACAAAATGTAACTCGTGAGAATTCGCAATATTGTACTTTCGTAGCGATCGATTGTGATTTTAGTACGAAGCTTGCGAGGCGATTGTTAATGTTTATCGGACCGCGCGATGCGCGTCAATTTATAGGTATTATTAATTTCTTAATCGATACCGAAACAAAGATGCAGCACCACGTTTACAAGCATAATATTGTAATAATTATTATAAATGTTGTACATATTATATATGATATTATCGAAGGCAAAAACAGAACACTGATGACATTTAACTATTATAGTTCTTCATAAGTATCTTACTTAGTTATCTGTAAATCTATGTAAACGAGCCCACGAATATCATAACGAATAAAATCGACATTACTTTTATATCGCTAACTCATTTATTCGTTTCACAACTAAATCCTTCAATCCTAGACAACAGCAGACTCTTCTCTTCTGCTGTTGCGAAAGCATATTGCACGGCTAACATAGACAATGTTACGAGTTCTTCTCGTCCTAGACCAAACGTTGAACTAGCTATGGCGTATTCTTTAGACAAGGATGTACGAAAAATGCCTTTATCGTCGGTCTAAAATACGAACGATACCTTTAAATACATCCCATGGAATTTTTTTTTATATGTTAAAGAATTTCTTAAACGAAAATTGATAATATTACTCACACAAAGGCAAATAGGATGTTTAGCTTCATAAAAATATTTGAACTGATGGGACTCGTAAGAAGGTACTGTCTTGCACTGAACATTTGATGTTAGGCACAATTCTAGACAAAATGTAAAAAGTAGATATTCTATATGACTACAAATACCTTGACTACTAAACTTACAGAACACTCTCGTCCTTACCTACAGGAATTTTTGAAGTAAACAACATATCCAACAGTTTATTTGACCCCTGTAAATTTGGATGAACACAAGTACAATGACCTAATCGATCGGGTTTAAATTCAAGGATGTCTTTTGTCTCTATTTCATTTGAAATCTGTACGAAAAGAAAGGGAAGATATTTTTGAGGTTTCAAGAAACTAAGTAACATCGATCCAAATGTATCAAGATTACCTCTGCACAATGGGCAGCTATTTTCAAGCCAGCTATTCTTGCTTTTTTCAATAATTCTAAAAATGCATCTCCAGTCATTGGATCTCCACTGAGATCAAGACCAACAATGTACTGTGGATATTTTTTAAAGAAATTTATTGCTAAATCTATGTTCTCCTCTGCTGACTTATACCCTTGCTTACGATTAATAGATATCAAAAGCTTTACAAGTATGTCTGGAAAAACAGTTTTGCAGAGCCTGCAATTGTACGATACTTCAAATAAAAAATTACCTAATTTCCTAACTATCTAAACAGAAATATTTCTTTTAACTACGATTACCGAAATGCTTTTATAATTGCTTCTATGTATTCTTGTTTCGACATTTGCCCATCGATAGCACGAGGTGTGCTCCTAAGTTCTAAATATATTACATTATCTGCATTGAATTCCTCAATTACATCATATGCTGAATGGAAAACTGCTTCTGGTGTTACTGTTAAGGAATGTGCTACATCGAATACTTTGAAACATCTTTAAAAATAATTGTATGTTTTAATAAAATATAATAATATGTTTGCTATGTGACCGTGAATAAATCAAATCAAATCAAAAAGATTATTGTTCGTACTCGCCTAACGATGAAAAGTTTTCGACGTTCATAATTATATTCTCACAGTCCTCTGAATTTGGATTTTGCATTTTATACAGTTTCTTTAAAGTATCTGTACTGAGAGAGCCGTTCAAGTGGGCATGAAGCTCCTAAACATATAAACAAATATTCGTTCTAATTGTAGCTATGAAGTATTCCATATAATTATTTGTAAATACACATACTAGTTTTGGCAGAGATTTGCAGAAATCTTGCAGGTTCATTATAAAAGATGACAATACTTTGTTGAGTTCAGTTTATCACTTATTTTGAAGTTGTATTTATTTCGTGACTAATTAGGTACTTATTTCGCACTAGTTGCTATTTGATTGAAGTTACGGGAAAGTCAAGAAAAGTGGATAGTGCTACCACCGGACGGCAAACAAGTGGAACTAAATTTGAAAAGTATTGTCAGCACCCTCAGCGCCAAAACGTAATACTAATTATCGCGTGTGTTATAATATTAGGGTAGATCCCCTGATAGTGTTTGTGCGTGGTTTTATCAGTAAGAATAATCGTCTAACAACATATAAGATTGGTGTTGAACGGGAGTTTCAAAAAACGAAGATAGTATTAACTTTTACAACATGGGTCTCTAGGCTTCGGTTGGAAGAAGATCGTGTTCAGAATTGTCTCCAAGTGCAGAAAGTATCGCTTCCGTGAACGTACATCAACATATTATAAATACGCAACACTGGTAAGTTATGTGCATGCGTAATTAATATTTAAAAGTCGATCTGTGCTCAAATAATCGAGCTTTGCAATTTCGGATCTCACGCTTTCTTTGTACATTTTCATCGAATCTTGCAATTTGGATATTGTCTCTTTTATTGCATCGTTGGATACTTTGAGTATCTGAAATGCTATAATATAGAAAAAAGTTATCGAATTCTGAAATAATTCTAAAATAATTCGTACCCTGTTGTTTGTTAATCTCTTCTTTCTCGATAGCGTCCGTTAACTTGCGAACGAGTTTTATTAACTTTGTTTGCTTCTTTGATAAGACATTTAATGCTGATATTTTACCAAATTTCCTTTCATATTTCGTTATATACGCGTCTAGTTTTGAAATTGCCGTTTTTTCACGTTGATTGCGTCCAACGGTTTTTTTATTAGACATACTTTCGGACGCCATGATTACCGTTTGAAGTTATGAGTTATACAGAGTTTGAAGCTCGACATTTTTTTTTTTTAAATAAATGAAAATTTATATTTACATGGAAGTAATAGATTTTCATCACGATTTAAAATTTGACTGTAAATAAATTAATGCGTGGAAACAATCTTAATAGAGAATATTTATTTAGTATATAAAAATAATAATAAAAACGTATATTTGTGACAGTTATTTTACACTGACAGTTTATCAGAAGTACATGGTGTTAGGAATGCGAAACATTTAGTTAGTATTATAACCCTTTTTCCATACAGTATCTTTGAGATATGCACCTATCATAGGATTACTGAGCATTGTTTCTACGATATCCTTATATCCTAATTGACTTGCTAGCATGTATTTACATTCCACATCTGATAATTCAGACACTAACATTTTCATATTCTCTGTCATTGTATAAGTAATACTCTTTTCTAATCTATACCTATAAGAGTACAAGTACTTATATATAAAAATGACCTTTAGAATAATTTATTTAAGTAACTTGCCTGCGTGCACAATCTTGTACCAAGCTGGGAGTTAATCGTTTCATAGCCATGAAATCTTTTAAATATTTTTTTTTTCCATTCAATATACAATGATTATATATCAAATTAGCCCAATCTACATGATGATTGTAGGCATGTATAACAATAAGAGCTTGAGAGAAATTTAAAATTTGGCATAATATTCTGTCAATGTCTTCAGACTTTATATTAAGTATGCAGATTACTTGTTGATTAGTAGACACCGTGTTAAGTAGTGAAAGTTGAAGAGCAACTAATTGTGTTTGGTCTGAACATTGACCAGCAAGATTCAATTCATTAGCCTGTGTAAATATGTTCTATTAGTTGATAGGAGGAACTATTTGTTCCTAGATAACATATATAAATTGCACCTTACCTTCAAATAGTATTGGCTTGCATGAGTAAAATTGACTACAGCTGTTTGTAACTGTTTTTGAACATTTTCAGTCTTAAATAATTTCATTTCATGTGGAATATTGCATTGCAATTTTCCTTGATCTTTCATCACATCAGATATTAATGTTTTGATTTCATCCTTTGCTTCATTTTCCCACATAAGTGCAAGTTCATGATACAATTGGAAATGTAATGCCACTAACGTAAAAAGATCCTTATTCTCGGGACAATGTCGTTTTAGAAATTCTAATAGTGCCATTTTGAGACCAGTCACCTGTAATACGTTTCATATTATACTTTACAATATGTATATACTTCTTTAAAACTAATATGTGTCAAAAGAAACCTTATCTAATCCTTTTCCAAGTAAGAATTCAAATTGGTCATTGGTTTTTAATATTTCAAATATATAATTCATTTCTATAAATCGACCAACACCTGTTACAAGTCGAACCTAAAATAATACAATGCATTAATATGTTAATTAAAGTGACTCCACTTACCGTTGCAATATATAACATACCAATAATGCCCATAACTTGAGATTTTGCAACACATTTGCGAGATTTTGACATTTACGCAATATTGCCGCTATACCTTCCATATTACAAGAAGTCGTAAAACAATCGTGAGATCGTATTAATAATTCTACAATTGTCTTTAAAGTTGACACTAAGTAGAGAAAAAAAAATTATGCAAGAAATTCAAATATATTGAGAATGCGAAAAAAATTTTATTTTATGAAATACCATTTTTGTTTTCACCATAGGAATGTCCAAGTAATTTATTTGCTGTTTTTAAAAGTTGCCAACCGAGAAGTGATATATCATCGCATAATTCCATAATTACACGAAAATTTGTATTCAAAGAATATCCCCACAAAGAAATATTATCCTCATATCCGCCTGTAAAATATAAAAATTTAGAATGATCTTATAATGTCTCTATGACTATATTATTATTTACCTTCAATGGCACGTGTAATGTTTGTCATAATATTTTCAGCCAAAAATGTAGCAATAGTATCATTGCTTATTTTGTATGCAACAATTATATCAGTAAAAACTTCAGATTTATTATCTATACTACTTTCTGCAATTTCTTGTAAGAATTGAAAAGGATTGCTCAACAGTAACAAGAAATGATAACTCTTTCCTAAGTGCACTGCCAATTTATAACATAATACAATTCTCAAACATGTCTCTGTTCCATGTTTTAAGTTCTTGAGTAATGTTTGTAAAATTGATAAGCATTCTATTTTCATTTTGTGCATATTTTCGTCTTTCGCTTTGCTTATTTCATGCATGTTGGTTAGAGTGATTACTAAAGTACAAGATTCACAATAAATAAACTGCATGAAATAGTTTATTACAATATAAACGTAAAACAAATAATTACACGAAGATGACGAGGATAATCTTCGTAAACTGCGATTCTTGAAGGCACCGTACATTTGTTGTTTATTTTCATTTATTTCCTTTAAAAAATTTTTTTGTTCAAAAGTTAACTTATTTGGTGTAATTTCACCTTCAGCCAAGCTCAAACACAACATTAAAATTTGTAAATCCTATATACAAGAAAATACTTCAGAAAAAACTGTTTACTCCAGTATCAGTTATTTGTCGAAATAGCCAAACTCACCTTATGTTTGTAATTAAAAATAGTACTAATTCTTAATGCAATGTCTAATTTACCTAAATCAATTAACTTATTAATCAAATTTTCAGCTGCATTCTTTTCATATGGGTAATTCAATGTATAGCTAAATTTCACTCTGTTCAATCCTGATAATAATTCTGTTTTTAATTTATTAAAAATGTAAGGTCCACCATTTAAGTGTATATTTTCGGGACCAGCTAATATACAAGATTTCCACATTGCTACTTCTAATGTATCAATAGTCTCTTGCTCTGTTTCGATATTTTTTAGTTTTTCAAAAGCCAGGTACAATATTTCATATCTGTAACAATATGTATTTGTTGTTTGTTATCTGCTTAAATTTAGAGACTTTATTTAAAAAGAATGCATACCTTTCTTTGTGAGAAACAACTTTTTCAGCATGTTCAACAAAAAATTCTGCAGACTTCTCAGATGGAACATTGTATTTTTCAAAATTCATGGCACATTCATTCCAGAATTCATTTCTAATTTTATCATTTTGTTGCATACAACATTTAAATTGATGCCGATACTAGAAATATTTTCAATGTATTAGTGTTGAGTGAAAATAAAAATGGAGAACAATTAAATTATATCAAGATGATACCTGGGCCAAGATAATGTCAGATGAATTTAATCCTGCTACATTTGACAATTCTAATGCACTGTTATAATTTTTAGTTTTTAATAAATCATTAACACATCTCTGAATTTCAGGATCAAAATTATATAGATTATCTGACATTGTAACAGCTGCAAAGTTTAATGTAACACTAGTTTTCTGAAGTATCTTTGCAATTTGTAAAAGATGTTGAAAATTTGGGACATAAACTGAAATGTACGAAAAAATTGTTTAAAAATTAATGTTTTCTATTACAACGAATTTGTGTTAGTAAAGCATTGACATATGACTGCTCGTTATACCTGGCAAATCTGCGTAAAAATTGCATTTCATTAAAATTTCAAGAAATTTGATTTGCAAATGTGTACTGTTAAGACAATAAGCAAGTGTTGCAATAATACATTTAACAGCAACAATTGCAACCCAATACAAGTTTTCCAAGTATGTGTTATCTGAACAATCCCAATCCATAACTTTCTGAAAAACGCAATACTAGTCTGTTGTTTTATTTATTTTAAACATCGTAGGATTAAGTATTATAGCATAATTTGAAACGTACATTCCGTTTGAGGTTTAAACATTGGGTTTTGAATTCCAACAATTTTTGCTGACAAGTTTTGAAGTTTCCATAATTTGTACATTGTGTGAGGAATTCAAAAAAGGAATTAAAGGGACTTTCCTACAATATAATAATGTCAATGAAATTTCTTGTATTATAAATATGCATAACATATACTTACAGGCATAAAGATTTTGTAAGCTTTATTAAGAGTACTAATATATCCACATGTCACCATTGTGCCTAATAAGTTTAGAACTTGATTGGCTGTCCATACTTGTTGTTCCAGGCATTCTTTATAATCAGAAGTAATACTTTCATTTGCAGCAGATATTACCATCCATGAATAAGAATATGCTGCTATTGCAGATGGCTAAGATAGATTTTTGTCATTAACATTAAGGGGAACACTATATTTTATATAAATAGAAAAAAAACATCATTGCAAAATACCTCATAACAAGTTGCCAAAACTGTGAGAAAAGGTCTTGATGTTAACCGGGATGCATTTATTAGTGCACCAGGTGGATCTGGACTTTGATGACATTTTAAAATAATTAGCCATAAATCATCGTTTGAGGAACAAGTAGTGTCATTTATGTGATATTCGTATACACTACAAGAATCAGACGTGCTTCCTGAATCTGCAGATATTGGAGAACCAGAAATAGGAGACCCCTGTTTCATAATAATGCATTGCAATATTTTATTGTGTTCATTGTGCATATGTAATTTTCATAACTTACACTTTGTTTAACTCCAATCTTGTAATACAGGGACTGCCTAGTATCTCGTGATTTTATTTTTTGATCACCATGAATAGTTGATTGTGACTTTGTAAGTTGTGTATTACTTAACAAAGTTAGCAAGTGCTCTTTGATAATTTCATCTCCAAAATGTTTAGTATTTTCTAATACCTAATGTAATGATAGTAATGTACAATTTCTATTTCGAATTTTCCAATCTCAATGCGTTACTCAAAAATTAAATTACCTGATTTAAAGGATAAGCAAAAATTTGGCAAACTGTAACAAATTGAAACCAATGATTTTGATTTGCTAAAAACTTTAATAAGCTGGTTGGTAAAGAATAATTGTGTGCCTTTGCAAATCGTACAATAAAATCCCATATTTTCAATATGGATACAAATTGCTGACTGTCATCAACTAAATATTCATTAAAATTTTTTTGAAAACTATTTTCCAGATAAGACATTATAGTTTTTATGGCAGTTTCGTCTTTGTATATTACGTTTTCTAATAAATTTCCTGTAAGTTAAAATATGAGTTTAGATATACGGAAAAAAAATTTGGAGTTTCGTACTTGTTGAGAAAACGAAAAAAATTACCAATTAGCACATTGATCTCTTTTTGCACATAATTTGCCGTCGTCACATGGAGTCTTAAAATTTCTGAATTAATACCTAACATCTCAATGAAAGAAACACAGGTACAAAGTATTTCTGGTTTATCTAAATTTCGCAGGGCAAGAATATGCGCATAAAGACCTGCTTTACATTTTCTGAAATCCATATGTTATATGTATACATTAATCATTTTTAAGCATCGATAAAACACATTGTAACATAGTTCTTTTTACCTTCTGGAAGATACAGTTTTAACTAATTTTCCTTGAGAATGCTTTAAGCTAAGTATAGCCATATTTGGACGAGCTTCTTTCAAGTAATATTCATACGTTAATGAGTCTGTATGACCATACTTTTTAACAAGAACTGTACTAGAGAAGTTTGGCATTTGTTCACCATTGAATCGCCATTTAAATAATTGCTTTACAATTAAATTTTTATAACCATCTAATAATTCATACATTGTTACCTCTTTCTTTGGTTTATTTTCTACAATATGTTGAAGAATTGGTACATGTTGTAATATACTTTGAATAATTTGATTTGAAATACTATAATTGTTCAGTTGTAGATCAGTTTCACTCGTGAATATTCTTTTTAATATATTACCTTTTGGAGCAATATCTTTGTTTTGACTAATTGCTATATTTTCTTTAGATAAATATGAAAATATTAATACTAAAACTATCAAATAATTTTGCTTTAAAAATTCATTTATGTCGTCGGAAAGGTAATGAATTGTTTTAAAGATTCCTTCTATTAATATATCTTCAAATTGTTCTTGATTTTCACACATTTGTGTTAGTATATTAAATAAGTCCAAAACTTTAAGTTTATCTTCTTGTGTGTGTTTTTCAGTTAAGCAGTGCACAAGGCACAGTTCCTTATCAATAGTTTGGAAAAATTCAGTGTTATTAATATTGCATGTTTTATGTAAAAATATTGTATTGATTTCTGATAGGGTCATGGCACTGCCATAAATGCGTGCTAACAGTAATTTTATATCTTGTTTTTCTTTTTGTACAAATATTCCATACCTGCATAGATGATTTTTTATTAAATCTTTCACTAGATTGCTTGCATTTGAAGAATCAATTGTATCAATCATATTTGGTAGAATATCCATGGTAGTAATTAATGATTTATATTTTTCATTGATATCATTTGGTTCTCTAATTTTATTACTATTATGATAAGTATCAATCCAAAACTTTATCATTTCAATCTTATTGTTAGACAACAAGTAATCCCATAACACAGTATTAGTTATATTCATTGAAAGATCCTGTTCAGTTATAGAAAAATATAATTCTGTGCATACTGCTTGTTTTACATTTTCTGGCAAGGTTATAATATCTTCTATACAGACTGAAGAACTTAAACCATTCTGTATCCTAAAAAAATAATGCTTACTAATCTTTTATTTTACAAAAATCATCACAAATAAAAAAACTTACATATTTTTTTGTTCATATTGTATAATACTCTTTAATATGTTCCATGAATTTATGTGCTCATTTTCAAAACGTGCAATGCTTATCAGATATTCAGATAAATAATTCCTTAGTATGGAATCCTTGCAATTCATACAAACTTCAAATATGTATTCCACTGGATCCTTTCTCTATAAAGTAACATTTATAACTTCTAATAGTAATAGTAGATGTTACAAAGTAATATAATGTTAATTTAATATACCATATTTTTTAAAATATGAGAAGCTCTAAAAATTTGGTGTTTCATCAGAAGTTCTGTGATCCAAATTTCCACTTCCTTGTTGAAGTAGTCCCGAGCATCTTCCATGGAGCAATTTTGTCTGTAAGCTAAACATTTATGTGCAAGCTTAATATGCGTTCCTTTTGCAGAGGCTTCCCTAATAACTTCTCTGTTTCCTAATAAACGCCAGCCAGACCAAATTGCTGCAGGTTCTCCAGTTAAACATTCTATCGGAATGCCTCCAATTGTTGTTCTTTCTGCCATTTTATTGGTAGTTCTTTACATGTTCTAATGCTCTACTGAAACACTAAATATTATTTAGTATATATAGTTATATAAATATTAATACCGAATTCACATTTTTCATAGACAAAACGTTTAAAAAATATTGATATACCTATTGTCACAAGTATTTCCAATTTTATACTTTTCAATTCTCATAAAAATAATCTTTGCTTTATTACATAGTTGATTGTATTTTAGTATAGTCTTAATTAATAAGAAAGCAGGAACAAATAATATACGATAGTGACGAAGAAAGATCTCATATCTGATACCGCATACATAAACATGTACGACACATGAGAGTGCATCATTTAAAGATCGTATACAACGCATATAAACGTTACATTACATTCATTTTGACGTTTCAATTAGTCATTGATGACTCAGTTGTAAGATCTGGAATCCAGATTGCGTATCACATTCTGGAGATATTTATTTATAGGGAGTTTCATTATTTTACGAGTATAGTAAGATAGTTGCTATTCTTAACGGATGGCGGAGCTAGTTGTACGTTGTACATAAGTTTTAATTTAGAACGTACAACGTACAATTAGCTCTGTAAACAGCAATTATTTTGCTATATTTGTAAAATAATGAAATTTTTTATAAATACACATCTCCAGAATGTGACATGAACAAGAGAGTGAATTGTGTAAATTCTTTTACTTTTTATTCTACAAGTTAGTATTATAATAGTGGAAAAATTAATGAATTATCAAACAACGGCTGTTCGGAGGATACTTAAGTACGCCAATGATGTTTTAAGAATCTGCAAAGACGCGATACTTTTATTATCTGTTTTAATTGATATTATTGTACATAGTAATTGTTGTAACAACTCACACTTCCAAAGGTAGATAAATTTAAATCAACTATCCCTCCGGCAGTAATTTTTGCAGGATTATTCGATATAGCGATGATTAAGACGAGGCCACGCACTGTTTTAGTAGGCAAGTTGTACCAATCCATCGTAAAACACGATATTCCGACGCTACTACTCTAAAGTATATAAAAACGATCACTATATCGCATAATGAAATGAAATTGATTGAAAAATAATTATGCACCGAAGTATATCTACCTTCTCAATGAGGAGGTCACCAATGTAACAAAGTATAAATACGTTAAACGTCAGAGATATCAGTAACAAGATATACGTTGTTACAGTAATTGTGTTGCCCTGTTCCCATGCCTGTTATAAATGTTTAACCTGCCATGAGCTTTCGCGAAATTAACGAAATCATGTAAATAATGAAATCATACAAAGATATTTCACGAGTGCTGTAATGAAAAGTAGATCAAATTTATTGTTAAAATCATGATAGTTGGCGCACCCTTATCAAAAAATATTCGAGCAGGCATATCATAATAGTGGAATCAACGAATTCCATTAAGCACACTTCTTGCAGAATTGTCTCTACCATTGCTGAAAATCTGCAATGTGGTACGATGTACTTTCATTGCTAATGAAAATTTCTATAAATCGTACCTCAATGTTCGTAGATGGTGTTCGACAATTTCTATTAATCGTCCGTTTGGATTGGAATTTTGTTTACGATCGACGAGATTGTTCAGTCGTGATATGACGATGTCGATCTGTCCACAGATGTGGGTTACGAAAAGCGCGGCTAATCCACATGTACTAGACACTACAGAATAAATCACATATCCGCACATGCAGTGCACGATGTACACTAATTGATAAACCGGACTTCTTTGCGCGTCATACAAAGCACTGTAAATGGGATACACTAGTGGCTTGATCGTGCGATTGTGTTCATCAATGAACGTGCCGACCGCGTATTGCGTGATCGTATGAAAGATACCTCCACTGGTATACATGAATACAAGGCAGATTATCGTCAGATTTCTACCCATTTTACTATATTCCAACATTAATTTTCGTTCTTCGCACAATTCCACCTGTCAAATTGTGTTCGGTTTTTGTGATTTATCAGAGGATTAGAGTATGACAATATTTTAATAAGTAATCAAACGTCCCTACAATCGTCAGTTCCACTTTCGCTTTGCGAACATTCACAAAAATTTTAATTAACGAATTTACTGACCTGTTTCCAATTAGTTTGTATTTGTTCGATACAACACTCAATTATCGGCCTACGCGCTGTGAGAACCCAGTACTTTAACAATGACACTAAACAGAAACTCAGCCAACCAAGTAATTGCAACCGCATCACCGTTTCCCGTAGCTCGTACACTAGATGAAGGATAAACGGTATTATGGCGAAGAGCAATACCAAATTGCATAGTACTTTCATGACAGTCGGTAGAAAGCGTCCGGTTCCTTTCAGCACAGCTGGCCAAATACCGAGCGAGTTCATAATCCATCTGATATGCTTTAAGACGAAAGCGATATCTCTTTCGGAATACGAATTGCGCGGTTTAGGTGCATTCTGATCTTGAACTAAGGATCTCATGCTCGCTGGGATGTATAGCTCGTAAACGACTGTTTACAAGTGTCTATCAGAATCGATTGCGGAGTTGGAGACCGTGCACTGGTGCAACGCTGTTGTGTGGGTGCATCTTTGTAAACGCAATTTGAAATCGATTATTACTTGTTAGAGAAGCGACAGTATGGAATGACAGAGAAACCTGTCTTTCTATAGAGCCGTGCACCGAAGTCGCAGACTTCGTAAAAATTACGTAGATCGAAGGGGTAGCATTATGCACACGAGAACGACGATCAAGTGTTCTTAGTTTAAGGGAAGCATACGGTTTCTACATATTTTCGGTTAGAAGGTAATCAATTTAATTGCTATTATTTGGAAATATTTACGATGTAAGTACATGTGCACATCGCAGAATTTATATTTCTAGATTAATATTAATGATATGTAACCGTGCAGACCTATGTAACAAAATATGAAGATATTAAAAGAAAAGGACATTAGCACTTGTGTCGCAAATGTAAACAAAACACTGTATCATTTCGTAACCACATGCTCATATGATTAATGTGGTTGGTCCGTTTCGAGCAATAAGATACGAATAAAAGTAAACATTGAAAACGATTTATTTAATATAAATTTCTTTAGCTACTAACAAAAATATTCTCTGTCTGTCATCTTTGAATCTAGAAAATCTCGTATACCACTTTTACGAATGGGTCAGCGTAGAAAATCTGTAAAACATTTTTTGTGATTCTACAGGCACAAGTGTATCATGGTAATAGTAACAAATGAAAGTATGTTTACCAATTAGTTACCGTCCGCAGTAAGTTCAAGTAAATCACCGATGATTTTATCACCTGAAAAACATTACAACTTCACTGTCGAGCGACGTACATTTATTATTTTCGAATACGTCACCTACAGTGGTGAACGTATTCAGAGACAGATCCACTATTTTCCCGGCTGTAAGTTTAGGCGGATAAAGCGATATAGCATTCACTAGAATAAGACCGGAAGCTTTCTTTGCTGGTAAATCGTACCATTCGATATCGTAGGCAGCTGGACCTATTTGGCTACACTGATGGAATGACGAGGTGTCTATTATAACAGTCATCAACTTTAAGCGAATTCGAAGAAAATTTTATGTTAAAAATGTATAGAAGGAATACATGCATTTAACAAAAGTTGAATGCAACTTCTTTGTACATTACCTCTTCGGATAGAACTTCGCCGATGTAACAAAATATCAATATATTGAAAGTGAATGAGACGAGTAAAATAAAGTACGTCAATATTGCAACCACGTCGCTATTTTCCCATTCCTAGAAAAAGGCGACGAAGATAAATACTCTTCCAAATTAATGAGAAAATCGACGCTTTAAAAGTCTAATTTAAGAAGATTTTGGTTGATGTAATTCTTTACCACTAAGCAATAGTATTCGAGCAAACATATAATTAGCGTAGACTCCACGATTTCCATAAAACATATTTCACGGAGCGCTTCTTCAGTGTTTTTAGAAAGGCTGAAATATTTTCACGTTTCATACGATATAAACAAAAATTAGCTTGTCGAAGCTTGAAATCAATATGACCTCTTACCTCAAAATCTCGACATGATCTCGTATAATGTCGGCTAAAGGGTCGTGACGGTTATCTTTCTTCTGTTCACTTTTAATCAAGTTGTCCAGACGAGATATCTGTATACGAATTTGTCCGCAGATATGCGTAACACAAATTGCGGCCAAGCTGTACGCAGCCGTTGTAACACTGTACATGACCATGGCGGATAAACAGTGAATGGAGAACACGATCTCGTAGGATGGGCTGGACTGAGTGTCGAACAACGCGTCGTAGCCAGGATAAGTCAACGGCTTTACGGTGGAGTTGATCCTGTCTTTGGATAAGAATTGCATCACGGTGTGATAGGACATACCGCCGCTATAAAGAAAAATGGCGCACAAGGCGATGAGATTCCGACTGATGGATGCGTACTTTAACATAATGGTGCGATCATTGGGGTTGTTCACCATCCTCCAGTCCTTTTCCACGTGTGCGATGCAACGTCCGAAGACTGCACCTTTCAGACTGAGGTAACAGTATTTAATCGCGGACGACAGGCAGAAGCCGACTGGACCGAGCAACTTTACTTTCGTCTGTATGTTTTTCTCCACGAAGAAGATGTAGTGACCGGACGGTACGATGATGAAGAACAATGAGCAAAAACATGTTATTAGTAAAACGACAGAAGTAACTTTCTCTAGTTTGCTGGTACGGTTGTAAATTAGCGACCACATGCCAATAGGTTTCAGGACCCACTGGCACATTTCCAAGGTGTACTTTATGTCGCTTTTGAAATGGAAGTTCTTCAGTTTGCCGACGACGACTCGGTTGTACGATCGATCATGCATGGTGATGCCTCAGCTGCACACTTTTGACTGAACGTCGCGGTAGCAAATTGCAGGATACCATTGTTACAACGCAAGCGCGTAAACCTTTTTTCTCGCCAACTGCACGCTGTACGTGAGTTCGGAACGATACAAGGGGAAAAAATTGTCGATAACCGTACGCGATTTTTTGTAAATTGTATACTACTCGAGCAGTTCCGAGCTGTGGGTGAAAGGGGAGGATCAGTACATAGACCACCGATACTTCTTGCCATCGAACGATCTGATAAGTAAACTGTACTGTAACATTCTATACATACATTGTACATTTTATTATACTTTTTGTAAGTTTAATATTACCAAATACCGTACGACATGCATGTGAAACATATTTGAGATACGACGGTAGGCAAGATTAAAAAATTTATTTTCTTTCTCATTCATAATTATGTTTAATCTGTCAATGGCTCAAAATGTACCAGTACAACCAAAACGAGTTTGATATACCTACTGAACGGTACATTAGTGTTTTTTACATATTTTTATAAATGATCGGTATAGTCTAAAATCAGTAGTTCAACAACGATCATCGTGATCGACGAAACCGCCGTTTTGGAGGGCGACTTTAATGCCCGCACTGTTCGGAACGAACGATCCTTCGAACAGTCTTCCGTCGCGAGTAATAGCGAGCTAATGACTGCAAACTTGTACTAAGATCTTTAGATACAACGATTTTGTCATCACAAGTCTATTAAATTATTTTCAGAATACCTATTAGTAACTGAAAATTGGATAAAGAGTAATTAAATTAGTTATTTTAGAACTTACGTACAACGAACAACTAGCTCCGACATCCGTTAAAAACAGCAACTATTTTACTATACTTGTAAAATAATGAAATTCCTCATAAATACACATTTTTAGAATGTGCATGGGAGAGTGTTGGTCTAAATTCTTTTACTTTCTATTCTGCAAATTAGTATTAAAATAGTGGAAAAATTAATGAATTATCAAACAACGGCTGTTCGGAGGATACTTAAGTACGCCAATGATGTTTTAAGAATCTGCAAAGACGCGATACTTTTATTATCTGTTTTAATTGATATTATTGTACATAGTAATTGTTGTAACAACTCACACTTCCAAAGGTAGATAAATTTAAATCAACTATCCCTCCGGCAGTAATTTTTGTTGGATTATTCGATATAGCGATGATTAAGATGAGGCCACGCACCGTGTTAGTAGGCAAGTTGTACCAATCCATAGTAAAACACGATATTCCGACGCTACTACTCTAAAGTATATAAAAACGATCACTATATCGCATAATGAAATGAAATTAATTGAAAAATAATTATGCACCGAAGTACCTTCTCAATGAGGAGGTCACCAATGTAACAAAGTATAAATACGTTAAACGTCAGAGATATCAGTAACAAGGTATACGTTGTTATATTAACCGTGTTGTCCTGCTCCCATGCCTGTTATAAATGTTTAACCTGCCATGAGCTTTCGCCAAATTAATGAAATCATGTAAATAATGAAATCATATAAAGATATTTCACGAGTGCTTTAATGAAAAGTAGATCAAAGTCTATTCTTAAAATCATGGTATGTAGTTAGCGCACCGTTATTATGTAATATTCGAGCAGGCATATAAAAATAGTAGAACCAACGAATTCCATTAAGCACACTTCTTGCAGAATTGTCTCTACCATTGCTGAAAATCTGCAATGTGGTACGATGTACTTTCATTGCTAATGAAAATTTCTATAAATCGTACCTCAATGTTCGTAGATGGTGTTCGACAATTTCTATTAATCGTCCGTTTGGATTGGAATTTTGTTTACGGTCGACGAGATTGTTCAATCGTGATATGACGATGTCGATCTGTCCACAGATGTGGGTTACGAAAAGCGCGGCTAATCCGCAAGCACCAGCCGTCACAGAATAAATCACATATCCGCACATGCAGTGCACGATGTACACTAATTGATAAACCGGACTTCTTTGCGCGTCATATAAAGCACTGTAAATGGGATACACTAGTGGCTTGATCGTGCGATTGTGTTCATCAATGAACGTGCCGATCGCGTATTGTGTGATCGTATGAAAGATACTTCCACCGGTATACATGAATACAAGGCAAATTATCGTCAGATTTCTACCTATTTTACCGTATGCCATCATCAATTTTCGATCTTCGCCCAATTCCACCTGTCACATTGTGTTCGGTTTTTGTGATTTATCAGAGGATTAGAGTATGACAATATTTTAATAAGTAATCAAACGTCCCTACAATCGTCAGTTCCACTTTCGCTTCGCGAACATTCACAAAAATTTTAATTAACGAATTTACTAACCTGTTTCCAATTAGTTTGTATGTGTTCGATGCAACTCTCGAGTCTCGGTCTACGGACTGCGAGTGCCCAGTACTTAAAAAATGACAATATACAGAAGCCCAGCAACCCAACAAATTGCAATCGTATCGCTGCATCCTTTAGCTCGTACACTACGTGGAAGAAGAACGGTATTATGGCGAAGAGAAGTACCAAATTGCATAGTACTTTCATGACAGTCGGTAGAAAGCGTCCGGCTCCTTTTTGCACAGCTGGCCACATGCCGAGCGAGTTCATAATCCATCTGATATGCTTTAAAACGAAAGCGATATCTCTTTCGTAATACGAATTGCGCGGTTTAGGTGCATTCTGATCTTGAACTAAGGATCTCATGCTCGCTGGGATGTATAGCTCGTAAACGACTGTTTACAAGTGTCTATCAGAATCGATTGCGGAGTTGGCGAGCGTGTGCTGGTGCAACGCTGTTGTGTGGGTGCATCTTTGTGAACGCAATTTGAAATCGATTATTACTTGTTAGAGAAGCAACAGTTTGGAATGACAGAGAAACCTGTCTTTTTATAGAGCCTCGTACCGAACTCGCAGTACAGTGGAATAGATTGAAGGGGTAGCATTGTGCAGACGAGAACGACGATCAAGTGTTTTTAGTTTTAGGGAAGCATACGGTTTGTACGTATTCTTGTTCAGAAGGTAATCAATTTAATTATTATTATTCGGAAATATTTATGAAGTAAGTACACGCGCGTATCGCAGAATTTGCATCGGTAGATTAATATTGATGTTATTTGTATCAGTAAATCACAAGAAATTGTTTCGTGTATAATATTATTGTCCATTTTGTTCTTCTATAAATACACGCATACACAGACCAAGCGTCAGTCAAACATCCTGTCACGGCTTTTAGGTGATTGGATTCGAAACGAATCATGCTGTATTTTATGTAGTTGTGTAAAGTGAATTTACTAAAATGCAAGCGTTTGGAATAGTTCGGTGCATTCTTGAAATATCAAGTCTCGTGATTGGTAAATGTGCAAAATCAGTGGTAATTAACAAAATTAGGATGAGAATAAAATATCAAAGAGATTTAACGCAATTTATCATTTCTGACGAAAGAAAGATTCTTTACCAATCGGCAATTGTACGAAGCAAATTCAAATAAACTACCGACGTCTGCATCACCTGTAAATTGTTAAATTTTAAATGCTCAATTATTTTTCTTAAGCTCGATTAAACTACATTGGAAAAAAGTACCTACTTTGACGAAAGTATTCAGAGATAATTCGAATATTTTCCCTGCCGTTAGTTTAGGTGGATACTGCGACATAACACTTAGAAAAATAAGATCGCTAGCTTCCTTTGGCGGTAAAGTGTACCATTCGATTTCATAAGCAGCTGGACCGATTTGAGTACACTAATAAAAAATTACCTTGTATTATAGCAGCGATTAGTATAAAATATCTGTTGAGTCTTTCAGAATTCTGAGCGTAATTAAAAAACGTAAATTGAATGCAATACGTTTATAAATACCTCTTCGGACATGACTTGACCTATGTAACAAAATATCAAGATATTAAAAGTAAAGGAGGTCAGCAATATGAAATACATTAATATTGATATCACGTCGCTGTTTTCCCATTCCTAGAAGTACGGTAACATAGATAAGAACCTCCTGTAATTATGAAAATTTAAAATATCGAGATATTAATCGAGATAATTTTTTACCATCAAGCAATAGCATTCTAGTAAACATATAATTAACGTAGACTCTACGATTTCCGTCAGGCATATTTCACGCAAAGCTTCCTCGACGTCCCTAGAAAACCTGAAACGTTCATTAAAAGCGTTTCTGTGATGTTCACTTGTGTCGCAAATGTAAAAAGAAATTAACAAGACTCGTCAGTCGCGCAAGCCCCGGCTGTTACCTCAATGCGTTGACGTGATCTCGAACAATGACGGCCAAAAAGTCATGACGAGAACCTTCCTTTTCATTTCGTCGAACTAAGTTCTTCAATCGTTCTGTCTGGATCTGAATTTGTCCGCAGATATGTGTCACAAAGATTACAGCCAAACTGTACGCAGCTGTTGTAACGCTATACTTGATAAGGCCGGAAATCCAATGAATGGAATATATAATCTCGTAAGTTGGACTCGACTGCGTATCAAGGAAAGTATCGTAGCCAGGATACATCAGGGGCTTCATCGTGCGATTTCCTACAACGCGTCCTTTGGACAAGAACGACATCACCGTTTGATAGGATATACCGCCCGTGTAAATGAAAATTGCGCATAAAGCGATTAGATGTCTGCTAATAGATGATTGTTTTAACATGATGTTGCGATGGATGGGGTTGTCTACAACTTGCCAGTCTCTCTCTACATGGTCGATACAACGCCCGAAAACCGTTCCTTTCAGAACAAGATAACTGTATTTAAACGTGGACGACATGCAAAAGCCAACAGGTCCGAGCAGCTTCACTCTTCTGTACAGATTTTTCTCTTGGAAAATGATGTAACAACTGGGAGGTATGAGAGAGAACAGCAAATCGAAGAACCACGTTGCAAGTAATATGGTTGAAATGACTTTTTCCTGTTTCCTGGTACGATCAGAAACGAGCGGCCAAAGTCCGAGACATTTCAGAGCCCATCGGCACATCTTTAGAGCATAATCTATATCATGCTCGTAATTGAAGTTTTTCAGGACGATAGGAACCGTATTACACGATCGATCACCCATGTTGACAACCCCGACGCGCACCGTCGACTGATCGCCACGACATAAACTCGCAGTGCATTGTAGTTATAACGCAAGCCTGTGGATGCGATTACATATGCACCGCGAAATGCACACGAGCTGGAGACGACACAGGGGTGAGCGATTTTTTGTACAATGAGTATACAATGAGTACATGGATTCGATCGAATCAAGAAGGTAGACCAACTTCGGAATCATTGCAAATATATTGTCACTTGTGTACAACCAGACTTGGCCTAAACCGTATTTATGACACTTCTGCCGCAGAAATAAATTTGTGTGAATAATAGAATTGTTTATACGTAGAATTGTTTTGTGTCGCGTAGCCGAAACTAGAACTATCGTTAACTGTAGTGTCCACAGTGAGATTAATTTTTCAGTTTGGACATCGTTCAATAAAATTCGGTACGTAAAAGTGTACGCTTGCATCAATACCATTGTTCTCTTGGTCACTCGGCACATCTCCAAAAACAAAGTATAAAATATGCAAGGTAATAGTTTCATTTATTGTAAATTTCATCAGTCTCTGATCACACTGGCTGACAGATATTACTTATCATTGTGAAATTCAGCGTTAGCTCTTGCAGGTATCCAGCAGTAATTACGTCCCACGAATCAGGATAACTGAGAATCTGCAAAAGGTTCAAGCTTATCGCACAGTGACAATTGCAATCGATATAACAATAATCAAACATTTTTTACCAATCGACTCTACGAAGTAAATTCAAATAAACTATCGAAGACTGCAATATCTGAAAAACAGTCCAAAGGTCTCAATCATCGTCTTCAAGACGAATGAAATTACTTCGGACGGAAGCACTTACATTGCCAAAGGTATTCAGGGATAATACGATTATTTTTCCGCCTGTAAGTTTTGGTGGGTAGAGTGATACCGCGTTCACGAGAATAAGATTACAAGCTTCCTTTGGCGGTAAACTGTACCAGTTGATTCTGTAAGAGGCTGGACCAACTTGGCTACACTGATGTAAGATTAATATATGTATATATAAAAAATGTTTAAAGATATTTCGAAGCAAAAAGTATACAGAGACCATCGTTGTAGAGACGCTAAGGATGAGTAGATCGAGTAAATAGCATAAAATAATCCCGGTATACCTGTAAATACCTGGTCGGAAAGAATTTCTCCTATGTAGCAAAATATATACGTGTTGAAAGTGAAGGAAACTAGATAAATGGAGTATGTTGATATCGCAACAGCGTCACTATTCTCCCACTCCTGTAAATACGATGACATCGAAAAGAAACTTCGTACGACTAAGAAGAATTCGAAATGTCTAATATATTGTTTACCTTCAACAAGTAGTATTCAAGCAAACACATAATTAACGTCGACTCCGCGATCTGAGTTAAACATATTTCGCGCAAAGCTTTTTCAACGTCCTTAGAAAATCTGAAACGTAAACGTCTCCCGCTTTTCTAACACTCTTTTCGAACAATCTAACAGCATACGTAAGAAGAAAGAGACACTTACCGTAAGATCTCTGCGTGATCTCGAATAACGATGTCTAGTGGTTTATGACAAGGGTCCACTTTACCCTTCCTCTGAGAAAAATCTTCCAAACGTGCGATTTGTATCTGGATTTGACCGCAGATATGCGTTACAAAAATCACAGCCAAACTGAACGCAGCTATCGTAATGCTGTACCTTAGAAAGCCGGCGATACACTGAAAGCCGTATATGATCTCGTAGTTTGGACTAGACTGAGTGTCGAAGAATGCATCGTAACCAGGCATAATTAACGGTCTCACAGTGTGATTTCGTTTCAAGGGCTTTTTGGAGAAAACCGGCACTATCGTGTGATACGCTAATCCAGCAGCATAAAGGAACATTGCGCACAACATGCTGAGATTTCTGCTGGTGGAAGCGTTTCTTAACATAATGGCACGGTGAGTTGGATTCTGGACCATCTTCCAATTTTTCTCAATGTGGACGATGCAACGTCCGAAAATTGTCCTCTTCAGAATGAGATAACAGTACTTGATCGTAGACGATATGGTAAAACCAACCGGACCGAGCAGCTTTACTTTCCTGTACAGGCTCTTCTCTTCGAGAAGGATGTAGCGACCAGGAGGAATGAGAGAGAAGACCAAATAGGATAACCACGTTACGAGTAATACGGTTGAAACAACTTTTTCCAGCTTGCTGGTACGAGCGTATACCAGTGGCCAAATCCCAGTCAGCTTCAAAATCCATCGACATTTTTCTACGGTATAATTTATATCATTTTCATAATTAGGATTATTTACGCGTTCGACGACTTCATCGCGCGATCGATCGTGCATGTTGACAACTTCGATACGCCCTCTCGACTGAATGGCACGACATGAAGTTGTAGTGCTTTGTAGTTAGAACGCAAGCGTGTGGATGGGATTACATATTCACCGCGGAATGCACACGAGTTGGGGGCATCAAGCAGTCGTGGATAATTGCGTGTAATGTTTTTGTGTAGCGTGTAGTTATAGCTCTGATCGAATGACGAGGGTGGATCTAACCCAGACCTCGGAATCGATGCAATGAGATTGCCATTCATCCGTTTGATTGTTTCGTTGTGTACGAGTAGGATTAGATTGAACTGCCTCGATAGTACTACACGTACTTCACAGTTCATACGAAGAACTGACTTTGTGTAAATGATTTAATTGTCTACGGATTATATGTTATTTAGTATACACAACCTAAACGAAGTCAAATGCAGTTCTTCTAGGAAGCACTGAAAGATAAGAATTGATGTGTGAGGAAGGGGGGCAATTTACGTCGTATATTTCTATCAGAGGATGAATCGGCAAGTATATTTAACAATTTTTCTTGTAACACATAGTTTACAAGCTGGGATCGTCAGATGCCTCGTCCAGTATATTGACATTCGTTTCTAGAAATAAAATACAACTATACATAATAGACAGAGTACGAAACATACAAGAAAAAGATTCTTTTTTAATATAAACTTCACTAATTTTTGATGATATTGGTTAAGAAACATTACCTGTCGTAACAAGATTCAGCATCGTATGAATTTGAGTAAATAATCCAAGTCTTGTAGGGACTCGGTACTACTTATGTGCCTCGCACGAAGACAATAAAGCATCTGTAAAGTTATTAATCGGATTGCAATTGCATCAGGATAAAAATACATATGAAATATACGTTACCAATCAGCAACAGTCCGAAGTAAATTCAAATAAACTATCGAAGTTTGCAATACCTGGAAAATAGTCTTAAAGAGTTTGATCCGTTTTGTCAGAATTAGTGGAATTACTTAAATGGATAGTACATACAGTGCCGAAGGTGTACAGCGATAACTCAATTATTTTTCCAGCCGTTAGCTTTGATGGATAGAGAGCTACGGTATTCACGAGAATCAGGTTACATGCTTTTTTAGGGGGCAAGTTGTACCAGTCGATTTCGTAAGAAGCTGGCCCCATTTGACTACACTGATGAATAATAATTACATTGTACAGACACGATCAGATTACATGCCAAAATAAGAAGGAAGTTAATAATTAAACGCTAAAGACAGTCCGTGGACATCAGCTGACTCTGTGAATTTATTTCTGAAATATTTTCTATAAGTACGTATATTTTTAAAAAAAGAAACACGTTTGTAAATACCTGGTCAGAGAGAATTTCTCCTATGTAGCAAAATATCAATATGTTAAAGGTGAACGAAATTAGATAAATGACATAGGTTGATATCGCAACAGCGTCACTATTCTCCCACTCCTGTAAATACAATGACATCGAAAAGAAACTTCGTACGACTAAGAAGAATTCGAAATGTCTAATATATTGTTTACCTTCAACAAGTAGTACTCAAGCAAACACATAATTAACGTCGACTCCGCGATCTGAGTTAAACATATTTCGCGCAAAGCTTCCTCAACGTCCTTAGAAAATCTGAAACATAAACATATCCCACTTTTCTAACACTCGAACATTTTACTTGCATACGTAAGAGAAAAATCACGCTTACCTTAAGATTACTGCGTGATCTCGAATAATGATGTCCAGCGATTTATAAGAAGGATCTATTTTTTCCTTTCTTTGAGCAAACTCTTCCAATCGCGCGATTTGTATCTGGATTTGGCCGCAGATATGCGTTACAAAAATCACGGCCAAGCTGAACGCGCCTACCGTAATGCTGTACCTCATGATGCCGTAAATACACTGAATGGCATATATGATTTCGTAGTTCGGACTAGACTGAGTGTCGAAGAATGCATCGTAACCAGGATAAATCAACGGCCTGACAGTTTGGTTCCCTTTCACCCGTCCTTTGGACAAGAACGGCATCACAGTGTAAAACGCCAATCCCGCGGAGTACATAAAAACGGCGCACAATGTGCTGAGACTTCTACTGATAGAAACATTCCTCAACATGATGGCACGGTGAATTGGATTCTGGACCATTTTCCAATCTTTCTCGATGTGGACGATGCAATTCTCGAAAGTCCTACCCTTCAGAATTAGGTAACAGTATTTGATCGTGGACGATAGACTGAAGCTCGTTGGACCGAGCAATTTTAGTCTTATATAGAGAGTTTTCTCTTCGAAAAGGATATACCGACTAGGAGGTAAGAGCGCAAACAACAAATTTGTGAACCACGTTACAAATAATATGGTTAAAACGACTTTTTCCAGTTTGCTGATACGACTGTAAACGAATGGCCAAACGCCAATGGGCTTCAAAAACCACCGACACATTTCTGTAGTATAATTTATATCTTTCTCGTAATTAGGATTTTCCACGAGTTCGACAGCTGCATCGCGCGATCGATCACGCATGTTGACAATCCCGAGGCACGTCGTCGACTGATCGACACGGCATAAACTTGCAGTGCATTGTAGTTATAACGCAAGCCTGTGGATGCGATTACATATGCATCGCGAAATACACACGAGTTGGGGGCGACACAGGGGTGAGCGATTCTTTTTTGCGCAATGACTATACAGGGGCTCTATTGAATCAGGAGGGTAGACCAACTTTAGAATAAATGCAAAGTAATTGTCAGTCTATGGATTCGAATGAACCAGGAGGGTAGATCAACTTCAGAATAAATGCAAAGAGATATTGTCACTCGTGTACGAATAGTACGCAGAAATAAATTTGTGTGTACCTACTAGTATGGTAGGTGCTACCTTTGCATATAAAAGCATATCGATGTTGATTTCCAGGAACAAAGTGTAAAATCTGCAGGGAAAATGTTTTATTTACTATAAATCAGTTTCGGATCGCACTGGTTAACAGATAATATCTATCATTGTGAAATTCAGCGTCAGCTCTTGAAGGTATCCAGCAATAATTATGCTCCACGAATCAGGATAACAGAGAATCTGCAAAAGGTTTAAGCTTAACGCACGGCGTAAATTAGCATCCTTGTAACGATAATAAAATATTTTTTACCAATCTGTAAATCTTCGAAGTAAATTCAAATAAACTACCGAAGACTGCAATATCTGAAAAATAGTCGTGAGGTCTCAATCATCGTTTCCAAGACGAGTTAAATTACTTCGGACGATGGTACTCACGGCGCCGAAGGTATTCAGGCATAATACGGCGATTTTTCCGCCCGAAAGTTTTGGTGGGTAGAGTGATATTGCGTTCATGAGAATAAGATCGCAAGCTTTCTTTGGCGGTAAATTGTACCAGTCGATGTTGTAAGAGGCTGGACCAATTTGGCTACACTGATGTAAGATTAGTATATGTATATAAAAAATGTTTGAAGATATTTTGACGAGAAAAGTATACAGAGACCGTCGTTCTAGAGACTCTAAGGATACTGGGATTGACTAAATAGCATAAAATAATCCCGGTATACCTGTAAATACCTGGTCGGAAAGAATTTCTCCTATGTAGCAAAATATATACGTATTGAAAGTGAAGGAAACTAGATAAATGGAGTATGTTGATATCGCAACAGCGTCACTATTCTCCCACTCCTGTAAATACGATGACATCGAAAAGAAACTTCGTACAACTAAGAAGAATTCGAAATGTCTAATATATTGTTTACCTTCAATAAGTAGTATTCAAGCAAACATATATGTAGTGTTGACTCCACGATCTGAGTTAAACATATTTCGCACAAAGTATCTTCAACGTTCTTAGAAAATCTGAAACATAAACATATCCCACTTTTCTAACACTCGAGCATTCTAATTGCATACGTAAGAGGAAAAGGACACTTACTTTAAAGTATCTGCGTGATCTCGAATAACGATGTCCAGTTGTTTATAACAATTACCCTTCCTATGAGCAAAATCTTCCAAACGTGCGATTTGTATCTGGATTTGACCGCAGATATGCGTTACAAAAATCACAGCCAAACTGAACGCAGCTATCGTAATGCTGTACCTTAGAAAGCCGGCGATACACTGAATGCCATATATGATCTCGTAGTTTGGACTAGACTGAGTGTCGAAGAATGCATCGTAACCAGGCATAATTAACGGTCTCACAGTGTGATTTCGTTTCAAGGGCTTTTTGGAGAAGACCGGCACTATCGTGTGAAACGTTAATCCAGCAGCATAAAGGAACATTGCGCACAACATGCTGAGATTTCTGCTGGTGGAAGCGTTTCTTAACATAATGGCGCGGTGAATTGGATTCTGAACCATCTTCCAATTTTTCTCAATTTGGACGATGCACCGTCCGAAAATGGTTCTCTTCAGAATGAGATAACAGTACTTGATCGTGGACGAAATGGTAAAAGTAAACGGGCCCATCAATTTTAATCTCTTGTACAGGCTCTTCTCTTCGTAAATCATGTACCGACCAGGAGGAATGAGAGAGAAGACCAAATAGGATAACCACGTTACGAGTAATACGGTTGAAACAACTTTTTCCAGCTTGCTGGTACGACTATATACGAGCGGCCAAATCCCAGTCAGCTTCAAAATCCATCGACATTTTTGTAGGGTATAATTAATATCCTTTTCATAATTAGGATTTTTCACGAGTTTTACATCTTCATTGCGCGATCGATCACGCATGTTTGCAACTTCGATACGCGCGGTCGACTGAACAACCCGGCATAAAGTTACCGTACAATGTAAACGGAACGCAAGCGCGTAAATGTAATTGCACTTGTACTGTGCCATGCACGCGAATGGAAGGCAATCCAGGATTAAGCGTTCGTAGATAATTGCGAGCAATTTTTTGTGTAGTGAGTATAGCTCCGATCTAACCTAGACCTCGGAGCCGATGTAGCGAGATTGTCGTTCGCTCATTCTGTCGAGCGAATTTGGTATTGCTTTAAAGAAACAGCTACAACCATCATCAATGGGTCAGGTATAAAGAATAAGAATATTCGTCACTTATTGCTATTACACGATTCGGAATAATATAAATTGAACTGAACGCTTTTATTGATATTAATACACATCGCGTAAGTTTCACGTAGAAGTCGAATACAAAATCTTCGAAGTTATTATTTTGATCGCATGATAGCAAAATTGTAATTTTGCATTGCGATATTGACGTAAATAATGTTGCTTTGCTAATCTGTAAGTGTTTTTAGTAAATTGAAATACACTATTACCGTCTTCAGCACCTGAAAGAACGTTACTTGCTGAAATTGAACTTGTTTAATTAAATAACATCAGCAATAAGCACTTACGACACCGAAGGTTTTCATAGATAATTCGATTATTTTTCCACCCATAAGCTTGGGTGGGTAAAGTGATATAGTATTCAAAAGAACAAGATCACGAGCTTCTTTTGGCTGTAGATTGTACCACTCCACTGCATACGCGGCTGAGCCAATTCGGCCGCACTAATGGATTACTTAATCATTAATCATACTTGTACTGCATCTGTACATTAGCATCTAATAATTACCTAACATGCTAATTACCTTATACTGTATTGTACAAGTATAAGTACATGTACAATTGTGAAAGGTATTTAGCAATGATTAAATCTGAATCGAACATATTTCTAAACATGTACTAATATGCCGGGCTTTGATTATTGTCTTGATATGTTTCAAAATAACTTGACATGAAAATTACACACAAGAATTTCAAAATTATTAGGATTACCTGTTCAGACAGAATTTCACCAGTGTAACAAAATATCATTATATTGAAAGTGAAAGAGATTATAAAAATGGTATATATTGAAATATCAATCATATTTCTGTTTTGCCAGTCCTAAAAGCACAATGTTAATAGCAAATACTTCTCTTCGCGACGAAGCAATTGGTATGTCAATTGTTTACCTTCAAGCAATAGTACGAGAGCAAGCTAATAAGCAATGTAGACTCGGTGATTTGGGTCAAGCATATTTCGTCCAACGTAACTTCAATGTTCTTAGAGAATCTAAAATATTCATTGCAAATCATTTTTTAACGCTCATATGTTTAAAAAAACGACTATTTACCTTAAGATCTCGGCATGATTTTGAACAATAATGGCCAAAGAGTTACGTTTGGACTTTCTCTTATGCATATCCTCGATCAAAAGCTCCAATCGTGATATTTGTATCTGTATCTGTCCGCAGATATGAGTTACGCAAAGCACTAGCAGACTGAACACGCCGAGAGTAATGCTGTACCTTATAAGACTGGTAAAGAATTGAATAGAAAATATGATTTCGTAAGTGGGACTTGATTGAGTATCAACGAATGCATCGTAGACAGGATAAGCTAACGATTTTTTGGTGCCATTTCCCTTCGCCTTTCCTTTGGATAATAACGGCATTATGGTGTGATACGACAATCCGGCGGTATAAAGAAAAGCAGCGCATAAGGTGCATAGATTTCTGCTAATGGACACCTCCTGCAGCATGATGTCACGATGACTCGAGTTTTTCACACGTTTCCAGTCTGTCTCTATGTGTACAATGCAACGGCCGAGAACCGTTCCTCTCAAGACGAGATAGCAGTACTTGATCGTTGATGCCAGGCAAAAGATTATCGGTGCGATCAATCTCTCCTTAACTTTTCCATTCTCTTCGAATAACATATAGTGACCGCAAGGTACGATGAAGAAAAGGAGGCAAGAGAAACAAGTTATTAGCGATCCGAACGAAACTAGTTTTTCCAATTTGTTGGTATGCCTGTAAATTACGGACCACATGCCAATAGGCCTTAGAACCCATCGACACACTGCTAAAGCGTAATTAATATCGTGTTCGTAGTAAGAGTTCTTCAGGATGCCGATATCTCGATCGAAAGGTCGCATGATAGCTGTTTAAATGCACACCGTTGACTGAACGGCGCAGAACGAAGGTAAAAAGTAGTTACGATGTTTTAAACGCGCAAATGAAAATAAAAGGTACACACAAGTCTCGTGGTACATACGAGTTGCAAAAACTTTCCGGGATTAACAGTGGTCGATACCCCTGCACGTATTTTTTGCATATTATTTATTTATGGAGGGATCAAACGAAGCGGAGAAACTATAGAAAACACTACCTCAAAGACAGTATTATTCGTTCTTTTGGTAATTTACGTTCTACATCATTGTCATGCGATGATCAGATAACAAAAATTTTATCGTAACATTCTACGTGTATCATGGATTTTTAAGGAGCATTTTTTGAAAGTAAGACAGGTGCTGGATATTTTTAATTATCTTACGATAGCTACAGTAAGTGTAGAAAGTATTCGTAAACCGATCAATTTCGATTGATTGATGACGATTGATTTAATATAAATTTCTTTAGCTGCTAACAAAACTATTCATTGTCTGCCATTCTTGAATCTACAAAATCTCATATACCACTTTTACGAATGGATCAGCGTATAAAATCTGTAAAACATTTTTTGTGAATCTACAGGCACATGTGTATCATGGCAGTAGTAATAAATGAAAGTTTGTTTACCAATCAGTTACCGTCCGAAGTAAGTTCAAGTAAATTACCGATGACTTCATTACCTAAAATATATTATAACTTCAGTGTCGAGTGTCTCGCTGTGAGTGACGTACATTTACTATTTTTGAATACGTCACCTACAATGGTGAACGTATTCAGAGACAGATCCACTATTTTCCCGGCTGTAAGTTTAGGCGGATAAAGCGATATAGCATTCACTAGAATAAGACCGGAAGCTTTCTTTGCTGGTAAATCGTACCATTCGATATCGTAGGCAGCTGGACTTATTTGGCTACACTGATGGAATGACGAGGTGTCTATTATAACAGTCATCAACTTTAAGCGAATTCGAAGAAAATTTTATGTTAAAAATGTATAGAAGGAATACATGCATTTAACAAAAGTTGAATGCAACTTCTTTGTACATTACCTCTTCGGATAGAACTTCGCCGATGTAACAAAATATCAATATATTGAAAGTGAATGAGACGAGTAAAATAAAGTACGTCAATATTGCAACTACGTCGCTATTTTCCCATTCCTAGAAAAAGGCGACGAAGATAAATACTCTTCCAAATTAATGAGAAAATCGACGCTTTAAAAGTCTAATTTAAGAAGATTTTGGTCGATGTAATTCTTTACCACTAAGCAATAGTATTCGAGCAAACATATAGCCATCGTAGACTCCAAGATTTCCATAAAACATATTTCACGGAGCGCTTCTTCAGTGTTTTTAGAAAGGCTGAAATATTTTCACGTTTCATACGATATAAACAAAAATTAGCTTGTCGAAGCTAGAAATCAACATGACCTCTTACCTCAAAATCTCGACATGATCTCGTATAATGTCGGCTAAAGGGTCGTGACGGTTATCTTTCTTCTGTTCACTTTTAATCAAGTTGTCCAGACGAGATATCTGTATACGAATTTGTCCGCAGATATGCGTAACACAAATTGCGGCCAAGCTGTACGCAGCCGTTGTAACACTGTACATGACCATGGCGGATAAACAGTGAATGGAGAACACGATCTCGTAGGATGGGCTGGACTGAATGTCGAAGAACGCGTCGTAGCCAGGATAAGTCAACGGCTTTACGGTGGAGTTGATCCTGTCTTTGGATAAGAATTGCATCACGGTGTGATAGGACATACCGCCGCTATAAAGAAAAATGGCGCACAAGGCGATGAGATTCCGACTGATGGATGCGTACTTTAACATAATGATGCGATCATTGGGGTTGTTCACCATCCTCCAGTCCTTTTCCACGTGTGCGATGCAACGTCCGAAGACTGCACCTTTCAGACTGAGGTAACAGTATTTAATCGCGGACGACAGGCAGAAGCCGACTGGACCGAGCAACTTTACTTTCGTCTGTATGTTTTTCTCCACGAAGAAGATGTAGTGACCGGACGGTACGATGATGAAGAACAATGAGCAAAAACATGTTATTAGTAAAACGACAGAAGTAACTTTCTCTAGTTTGCTGGTACGGTTGTAAATTAGCGACCACATGCCAATAGGTTTCAGGACCCACTGGCACATTTCCAAGGTGTACTTTATGTCGCTTTCGTAATGGAAGTTCTTCAGTTTGCCGACGACGATTCGGTTGTACGATCGATCATGCATGGTGATGCCTCAGCTGCACACTTTTGACTGAACGTCGCGGTAGCAAATTGCAGGATACCATTGTTACAACGCAAGCGCGTAAACCTTTTTTCTTGCCAACTGCACGCTGTACGTGAGTTCGGAACGATACAAGGGGAAAGAATTGTCGATAACCGTACGCGATTTTTTGTAAATTGTATACTACTCGAGCAGTTCTGACTGTGGGTGAAAGGGGAGGATCAGTACATAGACCACCGATACTTCTTGCATTCTATACATACATTGTACATTTTATTATACTTTTTGTAAGTTTAATATTACCAAATACCGTACGACATGCATGTCAAACATATTTGAGATACGACGTTAGGCAAGATTGAAAAATTTATTTTCTTTCTCATTCATAATTATGTTTAATCTGTCAATGGCTCAAAATGTACCAGTACAACCAAAACGAGTTTGATATACCTACCGAACGGTACATTAGTGTTTTTTACATATTTTTATAAATGATCGGTATAGTCTAAAATCAGTAGTTCAACGACGATTATTTTTGTTAGTTGGTTTATCGAATGGTGGATAAATCATGCAGCATTGAAACATAAAATTTTATTCGATAATTTCAATTAGAATCGGTAATCGTTCGCAGCATATTCAAATAGACCAACGACGATTTTAGTACCTGAAAACGATTAAAGTTTAGATTAATAAAGTTTCCTATTGCAACGAGTACAGGATACGAGAATCACTTACAACTCCAAACGTGTTCAACGACAGGTCAAGTATCTTGCCAGCCGTTAGCTTAGGTGGATATTTGGATACAGCGAGCACCAAAACGATACCACGTGCTGTCCTTCCAGATAGATTATACCAGTCAATTTTGTAGGAAGCCGTTGCAATGTTGTCACCCTGATACAAGACTTGTGTCTATTATGCCAATGGTTAAATGTGCTCACTTCTAGGTTCAAAAATCAACGACGAATGAGTATGTACAGAGTGATCGGGTGTGAACGAATAAACAATAGCATTTGGTTACGCGTTCGTTGAGGATACCTGTCCAAGAAGAAGTTCTCCCACGTAGCAGTATATCGCAATGCTGAAGATGAAGGAAGTCAACAGAATAACGTACGTTAGTATCGCAATCGAATCGCTGGTTTCCCATTCCTAAAAGACAAGGCTGAAAGTTAAAAATTAAGGCTGAATCAGACGAACGTTTCTCTCAGTCATATATTTTTACCATCATGCAATAATATTCGAGCAAGCATATTAGTAAAGTGGACATTACTACTTCCATTAACAATATCTCCTGCATCGCTTTCTCCACGTCTTTCGTAAATCTGAAATTTCATGGTTCCTACTCTAACACGTTACTTTAACGAACCTGTGACCGATACTACTTCCGTTGTACGATGTTACCTCAATATTTTCACGTGATTTCTCACGACTATCGCTATATGGTTTTCGTAGCTCGCATACTTTCGCGGGGATCTCTTTCCGTTGGTCAAGTGCTCCAATCGCGATGTCTGTATCTCTATTTGACCGCAAGCATGACTCGTGAAGACGGCGGTCAGACTGTAAGCGGCCATCGTGATGTTACCGATTACCAAAACGTAAATGCAATGCATACAGTACACGATCTCGTACGTGGGACTCTCCTGGATATCGAAAAATGCTTCGTAGCCAGGGTAAGTCAATGGTCTGATCGTGACGTTCTCGTTGACCACGCTCTTGGATAATAACGGCATGATCGTGTGGTAGGAGAGACCGCCAGTGTACATGAAAGCGGCACATAGAGTGATGAGATTCCGACTCATGGTCACGTGCCTGATCATGATGGCACGATGATCTTGGTCTCGCAAGAGCCTCCAGTCTCTCTCCACGTGCACGATGCAGCGCTCGAAGGCTCGACCCTTCAGACTCAAGTAACCATACTTAAAGAACGATGTCACGCAGAATGCGAGGGGGCCGAGAAATTTGATTCTTGTATTCGTGTCTTTTTCATAGAAAAGAATATAATAACCGAACGGTACAATGACGAATTGCACGACAAGGCAGCATATCAATATTAACACCACCGATACCATTCGCTCGAGTCTATTCGCACGGCTGTAGATGAAAGGGTAAATGCCGATCGGTTTTAGGATCCACAGGCATAATTGAAACGCGTACCGTATATCGTTCTCGTAATGCTCGTTCCGCAGGACGTCGTCAAGGTTGGACGAACGATACATCCTGACGCACCCGGTGCGCGTCGTCGACTGTACGACCGTTTGAAACCTACGTTTACACAGGTCTAGTCGGACGCAAGCGCACAAGTAATCTCTCAAATGAACGAAACTTTATTTTCTGATCGATAGCGATATAGCGAACGCGTGTTGTCGCGGCTGTTTAATCGCTGCTGGTTGGTTCGCGGTCAAAAAACAAGGAGCGATGTTCGTTTTCTCGTTTATTGTGGCATATTTTTTTGGGGAGATGAGGGACAAGGAAAGAAAACGCGATTTAAATCGTTTACATGAAAAAGGTGGAGTTCGAAGTGAAAATCTCATCGTAAACGACGAAATCGCCGTTTTGGAGGGTGACTTTAATGCCCGCACTGTTCGTAGTTTATTCGTAGTTACTCGTTAGTTTAACATACAGCAACGAGAATGTATTCTTTTTCGTTTTTACGAACCTATACGAGTTTATACACGTAAATAACGTTTCTTTTTCTTCTCAACAATGTATCAGTCTACATTGCAACCGTGCGAAGCATGTTGAAGTATGTAAAAGACGTTTTAAATACCTGTAACGATGGGTCTTTTAGATTCTAGGATTACGAATAATTCTTCTTGTTCTGATACTCACGTCGCCAAAAGTTGCGAGAGATATATTGACTAATTTGCCGGCAGTAATTTTGGTCACCATGCTTGATCTTGAGATTAATAAGATTAAACCAGCGGCAGTCTTGTGAGGTAAGCAATACCAATTCGTCATGTACGCTCTTTTGCCAACCTTCGTGCACTGTCAGAAAGGGATAACGGTTAGTTTATTAAAAATTAAAGGACATGTAATTCTTTCCAACGATTTCTTATCGTTTTTAGGCAATCACAATTCTCGATTTCTCACTAGCATTTCTTTACCTGGTCCGTGATCCTCTCGCCGATATAACAAAATATAAAGATATTAAATGTCATCGATACATATACAATAGCGTATATGGCTAAGGTTTCCTTTGACTTTTCCTACAAAGACAAAGTATGCTCGAATAAGGATCTTGTCTTCGTACATATTGTTATATAGGTATTATAAAATTTGAAACTATTATTTTTGTTATACTGCGGAACATGTACTTCCGAGGATATCCTTTCGAAGCGAACTTTGATTTTCTATTCTTACGAAATTCATATTTGTCTTTAGCTAATCACGAAAATCTAAGATTTTCCGGACGAAAGGCTATCGTACCCGTATTGCAAACTGTTGAACGTACCGTAAGAAAATAATAATCAATTAGGCATAAATTCAACGTGCATCCCATTAACTCAACGAGACATATAAGATTCATCACTTTTTCTGTACGCAATACAAGACTGAAATTAATACTTTCATAAATAAACACATACTAATTTAACGCAAAATTACTTTTAAAATACACATAAACATATCGATATAAATATAATACGTACATATATAGTATTGAAGATAGAATAGAAATAATACCTTAACGCGTGTAAATGATGTTCCACGATATGAGCCAACTTGCTAGCAGAAGTCTGTCCCTTTCTCGAATCCACCATATTATCCAAACGAGACATCACTACGTCTAGCTGACCACAGGCATGGGTCGCTAACACAGCAGCCAAACCGCATGCACCAACCGTGACGGAATTGGCGATGAAGACGGACATCAGTTGCATGCCGAAGACAATCTCGTTGACCGGGCTGAATCTGACGTCCAACAGTTTCGTGTAAAATGGGCATGGTAATCGATACATCGAAAGAGTTTCGTTACCGACGTGAAACACCGTTTTTCGAAAGCCCGTGATTATGGTGTACGAGCAGACGCCGAGGTTCATGCACAGCGCGGCGATGCACGTGATGAAACGACCGAACTTTGCATTTTCAACCATCATTTCGCGATGCTCCGGTTGCCTCGCCACCTTCCAATCGTTCTCCATGTGCTTCAAGCAGCTACGAATGTCATTCGCCCTTAACAGCAAACAGCAGTAATTCAGCTCGCTCATCAACCAATGACTCATCGGACCGATCGCATTCATTCTCACTTCCAAGTCCGTGTCCTCGAACAGGATGAACAACGCGCATGGCGCAAACGTAAGGACGATCAACGAATGGCAGACGAGATTCAACAGTTTCACAAGGAACCTATCGGTACCAGTGGATTCGTTTGTCCTGGGCCAGGCCCCTATTGGCTTCAGGAACCAACGATTCACCTGTATACTGTACTCGTAGTCCTGATTGTAACCAATATTGATCGTCGAATTTTCACGAGACGAGTTCAACATGATTGCTTCGCGGAGACCAGTTGGGGAATGAATCAGTTCATTCGCGATTAAACTGCTCGAACAAAAGTTGGCGCGTGCGCGAATTTTTTTCTTTCCTTAGCCATGACATGGTGCTTAGTTCGCGAACATATGAGCGAGCTGACCGATCAATGCTTAAGAGAATATTGCTTTAAAGACATAGCTGCGACGAGTGAAAGAGAAATCATTCGTTCTGGTAAAAAGTCTGATGGCAAGTATTTGATATTCGAAAGTGAGTGACGATATTCCCTACACCTATTTTAAGTGAAAAATGAATTCTTTCATGTGTGACTAAAATGATGCTCGACACAATGGTAGGCTTGTCTATTCAAATAATTTTATTAAATTATATTATATCAAACATTTGAATAATACACGTAAATCTATTCGATGATGTGAACAATTGTTCCTGTTTGTGCACTTTAAGTTAAGGTTCGTAACATGTTTAGAAAAGCTACCGATGTTTTGATAACCTGACGGTCAAGAAAAATGGTTTTACCTTATTTATACACCAAATATCTGACGGTGTTACGTTTGATACTCACGGAACTGAAACTGTCGAGAGACAATTTAATGAGATTTCCGGCTGTAAGCTTTATCGTTGCATTGGACATCGCAATTATCAATACTAAGCTGAGTCTTTTCTTTCCTGGTAACCGATGCCACTCGATCATATAGGACCGTTCGCCAACCATTTTACACTGTTACAAGATACTTTGTTTTTCTTTCAAATCCATTAATATACCGCATTATACACTGCGTTAGAGTTCATAGCATTTGCTCGATGTATTTTCAGAGCAACAGGTGCGAAGCAGCATACAGAAGGACATTGGGATTAAAGTGCAACACTTGTATACATTTTGCGACTACATAATCTTACCTGTTCGGCGACGAGCTCGCCTATATAACAAAATATGAAGATATTGAAAGTAAGAGATGCAAGTATTATGGTATACGTTACAGTAGCAGTCATGTCCTTTGAATTCCATTCCTACAGTATCACAAAAACGAATAATTACATTTATATTTGCATAGCAAAATTGTCATTCGGATCGCGCACTTTACGCCATACCACAATAATGTAATATCCAACAAGACACATATCCAACGTACATCCCGAGACCTCAATTAGGGATATTTCAGACATTGCTTTCTCTATGAGCGCCAAGAATCTGTAATTGAAAGTGTTGAATTCAGAAAGATGCGATTTATTTACCGCACCTTTGCAACCTCACTTCTTTCAGTGATTAATATGAACATGTCATTGAATTTCTTTCTCAAGTTCATGCAGAGAACACAATATTACAAATGTTTTCGTACGTGTCATTCCACACAAAAGCTACATTTTACACACTTCAGTATTCGAACGTGTTGACTCACGATGTTCGCGATCCTTCCATCCACGGACTTAGGGATATCTGAACGGCCCGTTATTAAATTGTCCAGCAAACACACCAAAACTTTCATTTGTCCGCAAGCGTGCATTGCAAAAACTGCGGCTAAACTGCAGCCAGCAGCCGCGATTCCATGAATCAGGACACCTCCTAACATTTGTATCGTGAAAAGGATCTCGTTGGCTGGACTCTGCCGAGTGTCGACTAGGAGTCTCGAGAACGGAAACACCATCGGAATGAACGTCAGATTTTCGTCCACCACCGCGATCGTCCCAACGCTTATAGGTACAGCGATATAGTAGAAAATGAAACCGCTGTACATGAAAAAGGTGGAAACTTTCACTAATCGTCTTCCGAAATTTGCAGTTGCTACCATGATGTCGCGGTCTTCCAAGTGCTTAACGTTTTTCCAGTCCCATTCGATTCGATCGAGACACTCGCGAATATCGTTCCCATGGAAGATTAACGAATAGTACTTCAAATATGCCATAATGCAAAAAATCAACGGGCCGAAGAGTTTAATTTTACTGTAGAGATCCTCCACTTCCAGCATCACGTAGAGACCGCATGGTATGAAAAGGAAACTTATCAAACCGTAACAAACGGCATTTATTTGCCGATTAAAGCATTTCTCTGCTCGCGAGATATTAGACGACAGTGGCCAGGCACCCATTGGTTTCAAGAGCCACCGATTCCACTGAGTGCTGAGATTTACATATTTCTCGTACTCGTGGACCATCGATAGACACTTAGTACTGGCTCTTTTGGAGTTCTGCATCGTTCAGGTTCGAAAGCTACATGGATACTGAAAGCTCCACCGACCCGCGATACGCAGGTAAACATTGTTGCGCTTGCGCGTCGATTCTTGATTTCTCTCAGAAGGGATTTCGAACGAAGAATCGAGTAAAACGAGAGTAACTTTGTTAGAAGGGTTCAACCCTTCGTCGTAGCACGTTTTCAATTTATCGCTTTATACATTATAAGTGTAGCCCGGGCAACGATGACCCTCAAACACAGATGGATCGATCTTTCAATCCTCGACATACCACAAGTACAGACACTACGCAACAGAGCTTGTGTATTAACTTGTGGATTATCAAGATTTATTTGTTCATATCGTAATCGAAATATTGCTGATAAAACGTTTCTGTATGGAAGCTTAGAAACTGTTGGTAAAAAAGTATGAATTGCGAAAGAAAACTTCACGTTGTAGTGAATGTTATTATTACTGTAATATTTATAGTATATCTATACAACGATTTAAACAATTCTTCTCGAAGTGGTATGGTACATGAGCTTTTGTAACAATTAATTAAACTTTACTAATTGCATACATCAAGCCAACGTTCGCAACATGTTTAAGAATGCAACCGATGTGTTAACAACCTGTTCGTATAAAAAGTGTATTTTTTTAAAAATCGCGTGCCTCGATAGTTATTTTTTACGTTTGATACTCACGTCACTGAAACTACTAAGTGTCAATTTAACGAGATTTCCAGCTGTAAGCTTCATCGTTGAATTGGGCATCGCAATTATCAATATTATACCGAGTCTTTTGTTTCCTGGTAATCGATGCCACTCGATCATATAGGATTTCTCGCCAATCGTTCTACACTGTTACAAGATACTTTTATCTTTTATATCCTTTAACACCGTATTATATACTGTGTTAACATTAATTGAAACTTTCTTTTCGCAGAGTTTGCAGAGAGATTCATGATTTCTCTCAGAAGGGATTTCGAAGCGTGCGAAACGATAGCGACTTCATTAGAAGGATTCCAACCTTCTCAAACACGGATCGATTTTTCAATCGTCCACAGACCACAAGTACATACATTACAGAATAGAGTTTGCGTATGAAATTGTGGATCATCAAGTGCTGGTGTTTTTATGTGTCACGGTAAGTTCAGATAAACGATTGAACTTGAGATGGTACATGTAAGATACGTAAAGTTTCGGTATACAACAGACCTCGAAATAATTGAATTTAAAAATAATCGGTTGGTTTGTATACGTAGGTGCTTTTAGGAACGTTTAATACTATCATAAAAGTATACTGTACATTTGTTATACCTCAAAGTTACGATACACTAACTTTCACAGCAAGAATTTTAACAACGTCGTTCGAGTATAGCGAGAAAAGATCATGTCACTGCTCGTAACATGTTCAAAAATCCGACGGACGTTTTAACAATCTATTTATATAGGAATTTCAGATACAATCAGTTTTAATTGTCGAATAAGCTAACCAATAATGGTGTTTCGATACTTACATCGCCAAATGTGCTAAGGGACAAGATGACTATATTTCCAGCAGTAAGATTTATCGATGTATTTGACATTGCTATCAATAAAACGAAGCTAAGTCTTCTGCTTCCGGTTAGTCGATACCATCGAACCATGTACGACATCTCACCAATCTGTTTACACTAATAACAAAACACATTTGTTTTACACTGTATTAAAATCATATGAAATATACTTTTACTGTTTTACTGGTCGCGATAGTTAGACCATGGCATTACGTTAGACTATAATAAAAATCTTCTGTTCTGTAATTACATGGAATTCTTACCCGTTCTGCGACTAATTCGCCTATGTAACAAAATATGAAGATACTGAACAGAAAAGACGAGAGGAGTAGGAAATAAGTTGCAGAAACGGTTAAGTCGTTCGAATCCCATTCCTACAATGCCAAGAAACAAATACGTGTATTTGCATTTGTTTATATCAGGGGTACCGAAAAGTAATCAAAATGTCTTGGACTTGGAACAGTTTTTCAATGAAAAATCGAAGGACTTATAAAAAGAGGTTACTTTTCGTTCGCCTTACAAACGCCGTTCTATTCGTTTGCGTTGTACACGCGTACCATAATAATATAATATCCAAGAAGACATAAATTAGCTGTGCATCCCATAAATTCCACTAACGATATTTGTTGCATCACTTTCTCTGTCATCGATAAAAATCTGTAAATAATCGAATCGGTAAACTGTATACAAATTACAGGCTTTTGAAAGTTTCATTCTCCATACTTCAATACTCGAACGTGTTGGTTCACAATGTTTGCAATTCTACCGTCCACCGTTTTGCACAGATCCGGTCGGCCGTCTATCAAATAGTCCAGCCAAGACATCAAAACTTTCATCTGTCCACAAGCATGAATGGCAAGAACAGCAGCCAAACTGCACCCAGATGCAGCGATTCCATGAATCACGATTCCCGCTAAAAATTGAATCGAGAAGACGATCTCGTTGATAGGGCTGTACCGCGTGTCGACGATGGCTTTCGAAAAAGGAAACAACATCGGTATAAAAGTTAAATTTTCGTCCTCGGCTGCAACTTTTCCAACACTGATAGGTACTGCTATATAATAGAAAATGAATCCGCCGTACACGGAAAACAGGCATATTTTCATTAATTGCCTCGCAAAATTCGCGTTGGCTATCATGATGTCTCTATCTTCGGAATGCTTGACGTTCTTCCAGTCCCACGCGATCCGTTCAACGCACTCGCGTATATCATCCTCGTGGGAAATTAAGGAATGATATTTCAAAATTCCCATTAGAAAAAATGAACACGGACCGAACAATCTCAGTCTGGTGTAGAGATCCTTTACGTCTACCATTCCGTAGACAATGTACGGTATTGCAAGGAAACTGATCAAACCGTAACATACAGTGTTTACGAACAAGTTAAAGTATTTAGTCGCTTTTGAAATATTACGCGAATGTGGCCAAATGCCCATCGTTGTTAGTAGCCACCGGTTCCACTGAATACTGAGATTCACATATTTCTCAAGCTCGTGGTCCGATGACTGAGACGTATGTACTTTAATTCCAGGATTCTGCATCGTTAAAGTTCGAGCACTCGGTTGTTACTGCAACCGTGTAACTTACTAACAGTTTGAAGGGAAGTAAAGATGCGCCTGCGCTTGATTCCCATTATACTTGGAAAGCAACAGTACTGTGAATAAATTGATTGTCTATAAAGGGATGATCCCTTCATTTTACCCCATGCACGGTTTGCTGCTTCATGCATTATAAATGTATTCAGGAGGATAATCGCTCTCGAACATCATCGACAAATTGATTTGTCGGGTACCCCTGAACAGGTACGGTAAATGAAACTATAAGTGCGCCTACAATATTGCGTGTTACACGTAGCACAAAAAAATATGCGTGAGTATATAAGAAAATGTGAATAGGCCAAATAATGATCGTAGCATGCTTAAAATGTTATTTTCAATAAATACAAGTACAGGTAATTTCTTAGTTCTACAAGTGATAATCTTTAGTTGTACATTGGATTTCGCCGCAAACATATCGATTGTATTATTTGGGTAATTTGGAAAACGATCACGTCGTGGCTCGTAACATATTCAAGAAAGCGACGGACGTCTTAACGACCTGTTCATTGTAAAAAGTTGTCTTTACTCTTCAAACGAATAATCGATAATGATGTTGGGATACTTACATCACCGAAAGTGCTAAGGGACAAAATGACCATGTTTCCTGCAGTAAGTTTCGTCGACAGATTTGACATCGCAATGATTAAAACGAAGCTCAGTCTTCGATTTCCTTTTAATCGATGCCATTCGACCATGTAGGACATCTCGCCAACCTGTTTGCACTGTTACAAAAGATTTGTTGCATCAATGATGTTGCAAGTGTATCGTACATCTTTTTATCCACATATACAGGGTGTCCCAAAATTAGTGTAAGAACCGGAAATGGGGGATAGCCGAGACGATTCTAAACACAGAGCCCGGCACGTACCCAGCTGAGCACGCGCTACTCGGGCGCTGTGATTGGTCGGCGATTTTCGTTAATAATTCAAAAACGAAGCACCATCGGACATTTTTGCAAAGGAAATTGTGATTCAGAATCGTCTTATCTACCCCCATTTCCGGTTGTTACACTAATTCTGGGACACTCTGTATACTGTGGTAGAAAGAATCATTGTACAGGGTGTTTCCTACTTTCCCGGCTAGATTGTAGGAGCATAATCTACAAGTGAAAATGAGGAAAAAATGTTATACGAAGTTTGTTTATAAACGCGTTGTTACGATATTATACTTTGCCTGTACTTACGAGATATTTCTTGTTTTCTGACTATTCATTTTAGTCACAGTAGTTACTTTTGACTTATCGTGTGAAGTATTGTGTGAGATAGTATATATAGGTTTCTGCAAGAAGAGCACCACATCGTTCGGCATCGTTAACACATATTTAAACATATGCAGAACAGGTCCAATTCGTCGTAACAAAGTGTTTATCATGCTCCTCCGATCTTGACGGAAAAGTAGGTAACACCGTGCATAAATTATCGTCAAAAGGTGTTTTCTACCCGCATTAAGATTCTTACCAGTTCTGCGACATGTTCGCCTATGTAACAAAATATAAAGATATTGAAGAGAAAAGACAAAAGTATGATCGCGTACGTTGCGGAAACAGTTAAATCCTCCCAATTCCATTCCTGCAATATTAGAAGGCAAATATAGATTTAGTTGTCACTTATCGTTCAAAGAAAATTTTATCCATATCTGTGGATACTATCCGCATACCATGATTACGTAATAACCAAGGAGGCACAAATTCAATGTGCATCCTGTGAATTCCACAAAAGATATTTGTTGCAATGCTTTCTCTGTGAGTGATAAAAATCTGCAATTGAAAACAATATGATCGAAGAATACTACGGACTGATAATCTCAGCCGATTAAAGCGTTGTTTTAGCCTACAAACTTCCTACATCTTCAGTAACGATTCTGCTATCTAACAACAGCTAATGTTCTAAATATGCTTCGACTTAATTAATGTACAAGTCTTCAAAAGATTCGTTTTACACACTCCAATACTCGTACGTGTTGGTTCACAATGTTTGCAATTCTACCGTCCACCGTTTTGCACAGATCCGGTCGGCCGTCTATCAAATGGTTCAGCCAGCACATCAAAACTTTCATTTGACCGCAAGCATGGATCGCAAACACGGCTGCCAAGCTGCAGCCAGCAGCCGCGATTCCGTGAATCACAGCGCCTCCTAAAAATTGAATCGAAAAAAGGATCTCGTTGGCGGGGCTGTGCCGGGTATCGGCTATGTATTCCGAGAAAGGAAACACCATCGGAATGAAGGTCAGATTTTCGTCCTCCGTAGCGATTTTTCCGACCCTGATAGGTAACGCGATGTAATAAAAAACGAAACCGCTATACATGAAAAATGTGCAAACTTTTACTAAACGTTTCCCGAAATTCGCACTGGCTATCATGATATTTCTGTCTTCGCTATGCTTAATGTTCTTCCAATCCCATTCGATGCGCTCGATGCATTCGCGAATATCATTCTCGTGACTGATTATGGAGTAGTATTTCAAGTACGCCATTACACAGAAACTCAACGGACCAAACAGTCTAAGTTTATCGTAGAATTCCTTCACTTCCAGCATCACGTAGAGACCGCAAGGTATAAAAAGAAAGCTTATCAAGCCGCAACAAACGATGTTTATCTGCCATTTGAAGCGCCTTCCTATCCCTGAAGTATAACGCGATTGCGGCCAGATACCCATCGGTTTTAGAAGCCACCGATTCCACTGAACGCTGAGATTTACATATTTTTCATATTCCTTCTCTGACTTCGGAGACTTTGATTCCCTGGCCATTACCTTTTCCATCGTAGATGCCTCTGTACTTGCTTAACACTGCGAGCTCACAGTGTGTTAACTTGCAGGAAAACATTGTTGCGCCTGCGTAGGTATCGCTACTCTACTGGGAAAAGAACACATGTTTATAATCCTTTAGGACGAAAGTAACTCTTTCTAAAGGCGATCGATTTTTTTTCCAACTGCATTGCTAATTTGCTAGTTCGCGCATTTCCGATCCGAACCATGCAGACGTCTGAACGTCGATTAATTGATTTCTCGAACTTCGTCTGGCCGTGAACGCTAATACTACTCATCAGGTTCTGTGTATCAATTTTACGGAAGATGCAATCTGTGAGAATTGTTTCTGCTGTGTGTCGTATCAGCGACATTTGCTCTTTGTTCTACCATTGCAAGATATTAACAGAATTTATAAAATACTCCTGCATCGATGCCGTATCTATGAGAAAATGTTTAACTTTCAGGTACGTGACAACTTGCAGAGAATACGTCCTGATAATTTGATAAGTGAAAGAGGAACTTTTTCTAAAAACGCTTTGCAAATGTTTTATTGGCCTCGTGTGGCCAAATAATTTTTATTGGCTTTTTGTTTAAGTGAAAAACTACTCTTTGTCGCGGAAATTATTTCTCGATGTCATTCTTGTATCACTAAAACGCTGCTTCGAACAATCTTAGGATTGCCTTCGTCAGCTTTTACAATCGTTCGAAATTTATTATTTGTACACTTTAAGCCAATGTCCGCAACATGTTTAGGAATGCCACCGATGTTTTAACAACCTATCGATTTGTAAAATATTTTGTCTTATTCTTAAATATAGATGGAATGCGGTGATATATTAGATACTCACGTCACTGAAACTTGTGAAACACAGTTTGATCATACCTCCAGCTGTAAGCTTCATCGTTGCATTCGACATCGCGATTATCAGGATAACGCCGGGTCTTCTTCTTCTCGGTAAGCGATACCACTCAATCGTGTAGGACATTTCGCCAATACTTCTGCACTGTCACGGAATTCTCTTCTCATTTCTATCCTTTAACGCAACGTTACATACCACGCTAATCTTAACGGAAAGTTATGCAAGATCTTACCAGTTCTGCGACAAGCTCGCCTATATAACAAAATATAAAGATGTTGAAGAGGTACGAGACGAGTATCACGCTGTATGTCGCAGAAGCAGCTAAGTCATTTGCTTTCCATTCCTGTTGCGTAACAGGATTAAACAGAAACATGTAAATTCTCGTAAAATAAGCTATTTAGTATCGCATAAAATCTTACGTGTTTACCATGATAATGTAGTAGCCAAGAAGACATATACCTAACGTGGATCCTGAAACTTCTACGAGAGATATTTGCGTTGTTGTTTTCTCGATGAGAGCTACGCATCTGTAATTGCACATAGTGGAATCACGGACACATTTTTTGTTTGCTCGTCTTTAGATTCTCTTGTTTTCTTTTTTTCTTTTTTAAATTCTCATGAAATTTGTTGTAAAGGTGTATTTAGCAGCGCATACGATAATAACGATTTATTATTCCATCGTACAACAGATAGATGTTACTCACTTCAATATCCGAACATGATGACACACGATGCTCGCGATTCGGCCATCCACAGTTTTGCACATATCTGATCGGCCATCTACCAAATATCTTATCCAGCACATCAAAACTTTTATCTGGCCGCAAACATGCACAGAGAAAGCAGCTATCAAACCGCAAGTACCAGCGGCAATGGTATGAATTACAAGACCTGCGAGTACTTGTATCGAAAGGAAGATCTCGTTAACCGGGCTATGACGGGTGTCAACTATGAGTCTCGAGCAAGGCCACACCATCGGAATGAACGTCAAATTTTCGTCCACCACTTTTCCAACGTTTATAGGTACAACGATATGGTAGAAAACGAAACTGCCGCCCACGAAAAAGGTGCAGAACTTCACTAATCGTTTCGCGAAATTTGCGTTGGCCACCATGATGGATCTGTCTTCGACGTGTTTAATGTTCCTCCAATCCCATTCGATATATTTAATGCATTTACGAATATCGTTCACGTGAAAGATTAACGAATAATATTTTATAAAATTCATCACGCAGAAGCTCAGCGGACCGAATGATTTGATTTTATTGTAAGTATCTTCCACATCTAGTATCGTGTGGAGAGTACAGGGTATGAAAATAAAACTAATTAAACCGTAACATACAACGTGCACCAACCAAGTGAAACATTTTTCTATCCATGAAATATTAAGCGAATGCGGCCAGGCACCAATTGGTTTCAGAAGCCATCGATTCCACTCGATGCTAAGATTCACATATCGCCGAAACTCTTGTTCCTCTGGTTGGGATATCGATATCGTCGGTTCTGAGTCTTGCATTGTTCAAACTCGAACGCTTGTCTGATACTGAATGCTCATAGCGTGTTGTCAGTTCTATGGAAAATAATGTTGCGCCTGCGCTCGTTCTCGTAATTCTACTGCGAAAGGGACGCATTTAAAGCGGCCGAAGGTAACATCTGCCAGATGAAGCATCTCTTCTTTGCAACGCATTTCCAGTTAGTCGTGTTTGACTTACAGGTGCAGACAGGTGAATATCGATTGATTTCTCAAGTGTCGCCAAACCATAGGTACTGATACCGTTCAACAGGTCGCGTACGTAGGTCGTGTCAGTTATGAGAGTTGCTTTTCCTGTGAAGTGTATGTACCTTTTTGTCCTATATATATATATGTGTGCATTGTGCAGCAGAGACATTGAGTAAAATAAAAACTTTGAAAATTCATCGACAAAATAAGGAATTGTCCAAAATGTCATTCTCGTTAATTTCAAATTAACCAATAAATCTAATCAATGATAAAAATGCTTGTTAGAATAGTACAACACTCTTACTAATTTCGTAACATACAATCCAATTTTTAAGCCACAGCCACAGTTCTCAACATATTTAGAAAAGCGAATGCTGTTTTAACAACCTGTAAATTAGAAAAATATTTTTTTCCATACCTATACAACCGAATGATCCGTAGTTTCATCTTCGATACTCACGGAACTGAAACTGTCGAGGGATAACATGATGACACTTCCAGCTGTGAGCTTTGACGCGGCATTAGACATCGCAATTATTAAGATCATGCTAAGTTGCTTCCTCTTTGGTAATCGATGCCACTCGATCATATAAGACGTTTCGCCAATCATTGCACACTATTACAAGATCTCTTTTCTCTTTTATGTCCTTTAATAACGCAGTATATACTGCCGAATTTGCTATACTCTTAGCGTTAAAGGTGTAGAATTGCATTCGGAACGACGTTGTCGTTAAAGTCAAAGAATTTTATACGTTTTGTAAATGTAAAAATACCTGTTCGTCGACGAGTTCGCCTATATAACAAAATATGAAGATATTGAAGAGAACCGATGTAAATATTATGGTATACGTTACAGTAGCGGTCATGTTCTTCGAATGCCATTCCTACAATATCAAAGGGCCAGTATATACAAGTGTATTTGTACAGAAATGTATCATTCGCATTGTGCGTCGTACCATGATAACATAATATCCCACAAGGCACATGTCTAATGTACGTCCCGCGACTTCGATGAGAGATATTCGTGACATTGTCTTCTCTAGGAGAGACAAATATCTGTAATTGGAAATATTGAATTGGAAATATGAATAATTATTTTCTCCGCTATCAGTACAAATATTTGATTGTATTATTCTTTCTCAAGGTATTTGCTTACTGATAGCTTACAAATTCAATAAAATGAATAAATTTTTATGAAAACTTTGGGATTCAACCATTTAATAAATGTTTCATAGGTTCTGTTCACAAAATAAAATTAATTATATAAGGTTGTATTATAGAAAATCTGTATTTTACACACTTGATTATTCGAACGTGTTGATTCACAATGCTTCCAATTCTACCATCCACGGTTTTACACATGTCTGATCGACCGTCTACCAAATGTTCAAGCCAGGACGATAGAATTTCCATTTGACCACAAATGTGGAGCGCGAAAGTAGCTATCAAGCTGCAAACGCCAGCTGAAACTGCGTGCATCAGGAACCCTCCTAAAACCTGTATTACGAATACGATCTCGTTAATCGGACTGTAACGAGTATCGAATATTTGTCTCGGGAAAGGCATCGCAATCGGAATGAAGGTAGTATTTTCGCCTTCTATCTCGATCTTGCCGACTTTGATTGGTATTAAAATATAATAAAAAGCGGCACCGCTGTACATAAAAAGGGCGCATATTTTTGAAATTCGCTTTCCGTAATTCGCTTTCGCTATCATAATGTTTCGGTCCTCCGAGTACTTTATGTTGAACCAGTCTCTTTCGATACACTCGATGCACTCGCGAATATCATCTCCGCGAGCGATTACCGCGTAGAATTTCATATACGCCGTCACACAGAAAGTCAATGGGCCCAAGTGTTTGATTCTGTCGTAGACGTCTTCTGCGTCTAAGAATATGTACAAAGTACATGGTACGCAGAAGAAACTCATTATAATGCAACATATCACAATCAGGATCCAACTGAAATATTTATCTATCCGTGTAGTGTCAGATAAATTTGGCCACATCCCGTACGGTTTTAGGAGCCACCGACTCCACTGAATGCTGAGATCTACATATTTCTCCAAATCGTGTTCTATTATATGACCTTTCGTTAAGGTTGTCACTGGACTTAGCATCTTTGAAGCTTGACGGTTCGCTCGATACTAGACTCGTTTATTGTACAGATAATTGTAAGAGAAGTAGAATTGCGCTTGCATAAATTTCCCGAGGGTAGACTGAAATCAATTTAATTATGGAAGTAATATTTTCTCGACAGATCAACCCTTCTTTCTAGCGAATCCATTATTCATACTCGAAGGGAACCCATATGCGGTTGTTCCTTGACAGGCTCAGAAACCATTATATTCATATGTATTTGAACACATTTTCTATACCGTTTTCTTCTTCGCAATGTGTATTCCGTTAAAAGGTAGAAAAAACTGTTTACTGAGGTGCAATTATACTTTCGCGATGGTCTTCATGTTCCAACCTGATACCGCTGCATTGTGCAAAGTAACATGTTACACGTATGTACATGAAATAATTCAACCAGCGTATCAAAACTTTCATAGTACGTCAGTGCATAATTGTTTTTACGTATAAACGCAATTGACATTACAAAGAAGAAACAGTGCAGTGCAAGCACGTTTCACGATATGCATATTGATTTAGAAGTTTTCGAGCCGAATGACGACTAAAAATGTGCCTCTTAAAAAAATCGAATCAGATGTGTGAAACTGTGTGAAACTGTGTATAATCTTGAGGGTAATGTAATTAAAAATGTCATTCTCATTCAGTTCAAATACACCAATAAATCGATTTAATGGTACAAATTCATGTTGGAACAGTGTGATACCGTCACTATTTTCGTAACACACTGCTGATTGTTTAAACCATAGTTCTCAACATATTTAGGTAAGCAAACGATGTTTTAACAACCTGTCAATTCGAGAAATGGTTTTTCATATTTGTGCATGTAAATAATGTTCAGTAGTACGTTTGATACTCACGGAGCTGAAACTGTCGAGGGATAATATAATGATATTTCCAGCTGTAAGCTTTGACGTCGCATTGGACATCGCAATTACTAAGATCATGCTAAGTTGCTTCCTCTCTGGTAGTCGATGCCACTCGATCATATACGATGTTTCGCCAACCATTGCACACTGTTACAAAATTCCTTTTTTTCTTTTATATCCTTCAATAAGGACTATGTAAACCTGCCACCCGACTTTCAAAAAATTAACTTTCTTTTACGGAAAATGATCGTGTTTCGTTTGTAGTTTCTTCAATTAGAAAATAAAAAAATTTTTTTTAATGACCCGCACCCGACATTGAGATATCTTAAATTTGATTTTTCCATGTGATTCAGAATCTAACTATTGTTACTACGATCGACTACAAACGAAGTACTAACATTTTCCGTACAAGAAAGTTAATTTTTTGAAAGTCGTGTGCTAGGTTCACGTAGCCTTTAATAACGCATTACATACTGCCGATCTTACTACGCTCTTAGCGTAACAGGTGCAAAATTGCATACGGAATAATATTGCTATCAAAGTGTAAAGAATTTTATACGTTCTGTAAATACATAATCTTACCTGTTCGTCGACGAGTTCGCCTATGTAACAAAATATAAAGATACTGAAGAAAAGAGATGTAAATATTATGACATACGTTACAGTGGCAGTCATGTCTTTTGAATTCCATTCCTATAATACCAAAAGGACAAATATATGGAATAGTATTTGTATAGAAATGTATCATTCGCATTGTGCTTCGCACGCCATACCATGATAATATAATATCCGACAAGACACATGTCTAATGTACATCCGGAAACTTCGATGAGAGATATTCGTGACATTGCCTTCTCTATGAGAGCCAAGAATCTGTAATTGGAAATATCGAATTCTTGTAACGTTTCTTTCGTTCGGTACCAGTACAAATATTTGATTAAATAATTCATTCCCGAGGCATTCGTTAACTAATACGATTGCGTCGAGCGTTGTTTAAAAATCAAAGAAATTTTTGACGAACCCTTTGCTACTCACTTTGCTAATCACTCTTCTTCGGTTACTAATATGCTAATACTAACAGTCAAGTACACCAAATAAATATATTCCAATTTCTCATAAAATACGCGATCCAACGAGTCAGCTATAACCAGTTTTAGCATAGAAAAACTGTATTTTACATACTTTATTATTCGAACGTGTTGACTCACGATGCTTCCAATTCTACCATCCACGGTTTCGCACATATCCGGCCGACCGTCTACCAAATGTCCGAGCCAGCACATTATAATTTCCATTTGACCACAAGCGTGGATCGCGAAAGCAGCGATCAAGCTGCATGCACCAGCGGAGATTGCATGAATGAGTACCCCGCCTAAAACCTGAATCGAGAAGATGATCTCGTTAGTCGGACTGTAGCGAGTATCGAGTATTTGTCTCGGGAAAGGCATCGGAATCGGAATGAAGGTGACATTTTCGTCTTCTATCTTGACCTTGCCGACTCTTATAGGTACGATAACATAGTAAAAAACAGCACCGCTGTACATGAAGAAAGCGCAGGTTTTTATTAATCGTTTTCCGAAATTCGCTTTCGATATCATAATGTCTCGGTCCTCCAAGTGTTTTATGTGATTCCAGTCCCATTCGATACGCTTGACGCACTCACGAATATCATCTCCGCGTGAGATTATCGAATAATATTTCAAGTACGCAGTCATACAGAAAGTCAACGGACCGAACAGTTTGATTCTGTCGTAGACACTCTCTGCTTCTATGATCATATACAAGCCGCAGGGTACGCAAAAGAAACTTATCAGAATGTAGCATATAACAATCAGGAGCCAACTGCAGTATTTGTCCATCCGTGTAGTGTCAGGGAAATTTGGCCAGATACCCAAAGGTTTCAGCAGCCACCGATTCCACTGAACGCTGAGATTTACATATTTCTCCAAATCGTGTTCTACTATCTGACCTTTCGTCACTGCCATCACTGGATTTTACATCTATGAAGCTTAACGGTTCGCTTGATACTAGACGCATTTATTGTACAGATAATTTTAAGAGAAATAATATTGCGCCTGCGTAAGTTTCCCAAGGGTGCCCTGAAATCAATGTAATTATGCAAATCGCAGGTAATGTTTCCTCGACAGATCAACCCTTCTTTCTAACGAATCCATTATTCATACTCGAAGGGCACGCACATGCGGTTGTTTCTCGATTCCAGATTCAGAAATTATTATTTCATGGAATACATTTGCTTTACTCTTTCTTATTTTTCCACACTATGGATCTGGATAATACTTTCCACGTAATGATGTTTAATATGACAATAATATTGTTGTGACGGTACGGAAATCGCAAAGATGCGAAGCCGCTCCTTTGAACAAGCGGAAGCAAGGTCCCGTTCTTCCGCTTGTCATTCAAGAACCGGCAATTATTTAAAATAATTTAAATGATCAGAACAGAGATAAACTTTGTACAGTTCGGACGTTTCGAAATCTTTGTGTTATAGTTAATCGTTTAATAAACGTGTTGTTGTTGTTCGTTGTAACAAACCTGTGGGTATCCCTTAGTAAACTAAATAAAATGAATGCTCCGCATTGCATAACTCCCCGGCGCAGCAATATGTAAAAGCCTGATTTCGCTGTGGACCACTAGTTTGTTATATTTATTCTTTGCTCTAATACTACAAAAGCATTAATGATAATATTTAATCTTTGCTGTACAAAATATTAGAAAACATGTCCTAGTTAGCGTTCTTTCAAACCTAATAGCCTGTATAATAATTTATGAAGCATAAGATTATTTGTTGAAGTCGTACGTGATCTGTATCCCTGTGTCATTCTAATATCCTCAATCCGAGTTTCGCTAAAATGTTAATGGTTTTAGGATTTGCTCATGTTGTAAATGTTCGTAGCATGTTAAGATATGCGACTGATGTCTTGATAACCTATATTGTGAGAGATATTTTTGTAGCAAACAATTCTAATCGAAGGAAGTGCAAAGTGAGCATCGATTGTAACGGTGTGGACGATAGTTGAGAGTATTATCGATACACTTACGTCACCGAAACTACTAATCGAAAGCTCGATTAGATTTCCCGCTGTGATCTTGGTGGTTGTGTTGGACATGGACATCATCAAAGGTACAGCTAAACTTTTCTTTCCAGGCATTCGATACCAATCGATCATATACGACTTTTCGCCAACTTTCACGGTCTGTTAGAAGGTATTCGTTCACATTTTTATTGGTATGAATTAATGCCAAAAATATTTTACTATCGTAAAACGAACAAGTTTTAAAGAACAAGATCTGTACCTGTTCCGCTAGGAGTTCACCGATATAGCAGAATATAAAAATGTTGAATGTAACGGATATAAGTAGGATTACATATGTCATACCACTGACTGGTTGTTTAGGGTCCCATTCCTGTGAGAGGTCATTTAAAAATAGTTTAGATTAAAAAAACGTTTTCGATAGAATTACTAAATCTCTATACATACCATCATCGAGTAATACCCAAGAAAACATATGTTCAAGGTACAGCCCACGACTTCCACTAAGGAAATTTCATGCAGCAAATTCTCTGTGAGATCTATAAATCTAAAATGGCAAGATAAACATATCGCTTAAACTAGATAAAAAAAACGTTGCTCATAGCTCGTTTCTATGCTATACAAGTATTAAATTGTAATATCGCGTGTATCAAATCTATTTACTTGATCGTTCGAACGTGCTGCTCCACTATGTTCGCCAACCTCTGGTCTAAAGTCTCAGTGTCATTTTCGTTCCCATCCACCAACCTATCCATCCAATTCATCAGAATCTGCAGCTGTCCGCAAGCGTGCATCGCGAGAAGCGCGGCCAAACCGCAAGCGGCGACTGTAACGTTGTGGGCAACGAAGCCAGAGCACAATTGAATCGCGTAGAAAATTTCGTTAATGGGACTGCGTCGTGCGTCGAGAAGTATCTTGGGAAAAGGGTAGACCAGTCTTCTATAGGTAAGATTCCCGCCCTCTTCGACGATCTTCGCACGTGTGAGCGGTAGAGCTATATAATAAAAGATAACGCCGCCGTACATAAACGCTCCGCATATCATAATTAGTCGTCGTCCAAACTTCGCGTTCTTCAGCATGATCTCACGATCACTCCGGTATTTAACATTCTTCCAGTCTGCTTCGATGTATTTCACGCAGCGACGTATGTCGTCTTCGCGAACAAACAGAACGCAATACTTCATCACCGCCATCATGAAAAAACTGAGAGCGCTGCCGAGTTTCAACTGATTGTAAAAGTCCTTGATCTCCAGGACGATGTACATACTGCACGGAATCAGAATGAACGCGAGCAAACCCTGACAAAGAACGTTGAGTAACAGGCGTTCGACGGTCTCGAACAAAGAACGATCGACGGTTCTTGGCCAAGTGCCGATTGTCTTCAGCGTCCAGACGTTCAGCTGGACGTTTAGTCTCATGTCGTTATCGTAGTTCTCGTTGCATGCCTTCTCCGTCGTAATGATTTTTTCCTTACTCATCGTGGAATATCGAATGTTCGTACCTCCACTAAAACTTACCTCGGTAGCTGTCCTGTCCTTTTTTTTTCATTCGACACGATTACGCGCCTGCGTCAGTACATCTCTTACATAAAAAATGGAAGCCGAGAATAAACAATTGGTTCGTCTTCCAGAATGGTTACCTAGAATTTCCGTGAAAGGATCGAGCTCGAAACTTTTCCGTCGTTGATGACGGGGTATACGTTCAGCTGGTCGGTGAAATCACGAATAAACAATAATGACAGATTTATGGTGGACCTTTCATAAGCATCGAAACTGGAAAATGTACGTATCAAAGAAGCGAAGACGAACATATTATTACCGGCCTTCTGTGTACATAGGGACTCGCTATTCGAGGTTTCACCGATACTGGATGTCTAGGTAGCATTTTCAAACTTTGTTTTATCTTGTGCCATGAACTGTTCCCTCTTTATTATTCCTTTCGGTACGAGCGCCGGATATATCCGGCATCCGTCTAATAATATTACATGTGTTACTTATACGATTACACGCGCATTTTGCGGTGCGGCACCTCCTGCAGCGGGAGTGTCACGGCGGACAGAGCGCTCGTACCGAAAGGGTTATTTGTTTTTTATTTTTTACTTTTTTCTACAGAAACATATTAGAAACAATCGATTAGATTACTGGTTTTATTGGTAGACAAAGAGTTTGACTTTAATTTGAGATTCTTTACACGTCGTTCATGCTATATATGTAGGATTAGTATTTGTATTACGAGTAAGGTAACCTGAACGATAAATACTTCTTATCACATTTTTTTCAAGTACGTTTCCTTTCTATGAGTCTTTATGCCGTCATCGTTCGCAGAAAGTTCAGATACGCCGCCGAAGTTTTGCAAACCTGCAGAAATTCTTATTTCGTATTCAACTTGCTAACGTATGCAATTAATAATGAATGCGTAAAAAATGAATGTTTCAAAGCTTACGTCGCAAAATGCTTGAAGCGAGACGTCGAATATCTTAGCGGCAGTCAAATTAGTTGGACGACAAGTTCTGAGTATCATCATTCTTACATTTTGGGCTATATCTCTAGGAAGATCGTACCACGGCATGAAGTACAACACTTGTCCTACTCTCTCGCTCTAAAAGTTAAAATTCAACCAGATGAATCGTCATTGTCGAGAATTTTTAAAGGAAAAGTCACCTCCTGTTTGAGAAGATCGCCGATAACCGTTATTATAAACACATTCACGAAGATCGACGTCATCAGAACGAAATACGTTATCGTGCTGAATGTTTTGTGATCTTCCCACTCCTAGAAAACATCCTCGGAGTAACATACTGTAGAATGTAATTCATTTAGGTATATTTAACTGTTCTTGTCCAGTACCACGAGCACTCCGTATTCAAGGAAACATACGATGACGGTGTTGCCAATCATTTCAGAGAGAAACACTATGGTCAAAGATTTCTCGATCAACGCAGCAAATCTATAATCCATTTCAGTCGTTAGGTAATTAGAATATGCACAAACGAATTGTACAAAAAATAGCGGAAAGACGAATGTTTCTTGCTAAAAAGTAATGAAAAACTATTGTTTCAAAGTATACAATCAATTCATTTCGTCACCCATAAGATACCACGTTCGCACAAATAACTACGTTCTTTAATATGTTATAACGTTCTTACTCGATTGCTTCCAGATGATGATGGATTATCCGATTGAGGCGCACATGCAATTCGTCCTTATCGTCGTTGAAAAATGTCTCGATCTTTCTGTTGACAATCTTGAACAAACCGCAAGCATGCATCACGGTGCTGGCGATTAGACTACTAATTCCCGTATTGGTGGACAGTATTATAGTGCTGATCAGCATTTGCAAAACAAACATCATCTCGTAAAACGGCGAGTCCTCGATCACGAAGAAAACATAGTTGCTTAGGTAAGGCAGAGGTATTTGCGTAGTATTGTCCCTCTTGACAACTCTCTCGGACATAAAAGGCAAGATGATATGATACGGGAGAGCACCTCCGTAGATAATCATTAGATACACTATCGTGAAAAGACGACCGTTCTTTGCAGATCTTTTCAAAACTAGTCGATCATCCTCGCATTCGATGTTCCTATACTGCAGCTCTAAATCCGTCAGCAACTGACCGATTTGTTTTTTATTGAAGATCATGGTCCAGAATTTGACGATCCCCAAAAGGCTGAATACTTGTGCTGCGATTACCTTCATGTATCGCGTTAGATCCTCGCAGTCGTGGAAGGTGTAGATTACGTGAGGTACTAACAAGAAACACATCAAACCGAATATCGCTCCGATCTGAACGATTGTTCTACTGGTTTGCAGGAACGTGTCGTTTTTACGTAGCGGCCATATGCCACTTGGTATTAGCAACGTTCTAGGGACGATGATCGTGTATTCGGTGTCCGATTTATAATGAACGTTGCGATAGCTCTGGTTACATATGCTCTTAGCCATATCTCACGACTGTCTTCTTCGCTGTTAAAGATTGCTTTCGCGATTGGGAAGAAAGAGTGACCGTATGGCAGAGACCGTCTCCATTGGCGCCTGCGCGAAAAGTTTCGTACAACAATTTTCTGTAGGCAATTCGTTGCAATCTTAAATTCCTGGAACGTTCTATAGCGATTCCGGAAAATTGAGCTAATCTTTCAGTCGTACTACTGGTAGGAAGTAAAATGCGAAGTAAAATCGCTGTTGTTTCGCGGAACGAGCACGGATGGAAAGCGATCTTGCATGAATAACTTGCGACTCAAAATATGAAAACCGTAGGTCTGGTTTTGATGGCTTCATAAATCAGCGACGTAGAACTTCAATTGATTATATGTTACTCGTGCTACGATATACGTTTCATGGTACGCTTCGTGTTACGTATTGCTCTTGTGTAAAAAAAAAACAGTGCAGATTTTTCCTGATTTTTCTGTTTAAATTAAAGTCGATATATTAATTAAAATCATTCATTGTGTGATATGTTATCTACCCGTGACATTGAAGTGTCGCACGCATGAACTCGCTTGCAGTTTACGTTGTTACGTTGATTTTACGAAGAATGTAATTGCATCGTTGCACGATCGATAAGACAAGTTCTTTTTAAATAATATTAAGAAATGCGATACGAACATCAAGAGCTAGTTTAGGATTGTGTGACTCGGTGGTGTATTACATAGATCTGATTTAGAAGTGTTGGAACAAGATGGAGAACATATTAAAAGAAACATGAACATATGTATTCTTGAGAATGTTCTTAATGTGTACTTTATGACAGACATATGTTCTTGAGGTTGACATTGAAACAATTCTACTGCTGTGTCATAGCTATTATGTTTTCAACAAAAATATAGAGTGTCGACGTTCAGCGTTAAGTTTAGTAATGGGAATAGTTTCTTAACTTACATGATGCGTGTATAATAAGTAACGATGCCGCAAAAATAAGGGCCGGGGAGGTCTAATTACATCTCGAACTGCGTATGCCTATTATTCTCTATACCGTGATTACTTCACCACTGATACGATACTTGCTCTTTAGAGTACTGATATAAAGATACTCATTACTTTAGTGCTGATATAAAGCCTGATTGCAACTACGCGACCTGTGGAATTCTTATTAAGGGAGTCGCGACTTGTCCTGTTGTTAAATCAAGACATTTAATCGACACATTTTTCCATCTCTTGAACTCTAAACACAAGTTTCAGTAGTACAGTGGTTCGTTCAGTACAATTTTTCATTAAGAAAGTATTATTAATTTCCGATGAAAATAAATCGAAACGTTTCGACTTTTGGGTATAATTGTTTCGAATTATAAAGTCGGATCTCAAATAGTTTGAATAAAATGGTTTGCACATATTTGAAGAAAATATTACAAATAATGGACTGAAGTGTTCGTACATTATTCCGTCATCACGACGTTTATTGATTAATGTAATCGCAAATTTCTCCAACGGTTTATAAGTTGTGAATCTTCGTGACCGTCTGGAAAGTTTGCAAGGGTTGTGAATTGTGGGTGCACCAGTGACTATAATTACGAGTGAAAGCTCAACTTGATGATGAAAGGTCCCATCCATGGACGTCTAGATCTATTGGTCTTTTAGAAATTGAAAAAAGAAAATCATGACAAAATTTCAATAATAATATTTGTCTAATAATATTCTATATAATCAAATTTTCAATTGTACGAACGTTGAGAGTCGCGCGTTAAGAGCTGTCAGTGTATTTTATACACCGCATTTCTTCGATTAATACTTTTATAAATTTCATGCCGCCATTGTTCGCAGGAAGTTCAAATACGCCGCCGATGATTTGCAAACCTGCAGACATTCATTCTTTCTTCTATGTGCTTCTCTACCGATACTTCAAAAAATTAACATAACCAAACTTACGTCACAAAACGCTTGAAGCGAGAGATCAAAAATATTAGCAGCGCTCAGACTCGATGGTCGACTAGTCCTGAGCATGATCATTTTCATATTATTGGCTACATCCCTAGGAAGGTCGTACCATGGCATGAAATACAATGCTTCTCCTACTCTCTCACTCTTTATAACAAATAAAATACCACAAAATCGACATTATACAACAATTCAATTTTCACCAGTTGATTCGGTTTTAGAGCAATATTTAGAACAAAGGTTACCTCCTGCTTGAGACTACCACAAATAAATGTTATTATGAACACATTCACGAAGCCTGATGTCATCAGAACGAAATGTGTCATCATACTGAATGTATGTTTATCTTCCCAATTCTAAAAAACAAGACGAAAATGATGTAACGTACATTCGTTGCTCTTACTTCATTTTCAATGTTACTGTCTAGTACCATAATTACGCCATACTCGAGAAAACATATAATGAGGGTGCAACCACCCATTTCTGCCAGAAACATTATGCTCAAACCCTTCTGGATTGCGTCAGCAAATCTATAATAAATTTCTGCTATTTAAATATGCCTGCAGATGCTGGGTGGCAGACGAAAGTATTAATTTTTTAATTTAATAAAACGAGCTTACTCGATTGCCTTCAGATGATGTAGGACAATGTGGCGAAGACGGTCGTTTAAGTCGTTCTTGCCATCTTCAAAGAAAGTTTCAACCTTTTGGTTGACAACCTCGAACAAACCATAAGAGTGCATGACAGTGTTGGCGATCAAAGTATTCACTCCAGTGTTGCTAGACATTATTATGGTGCTAATCACCATTTGCGAGACAAACGTTATCTCGTAGATCGGCGTGTCCTCGATCACAAAGAAAATATAATTGCTCAGGTAAGGCAGAGGTATTTGCGTGGTATTGTCACTCTTGACAACTCTCTCGGACATGAAGGGCAGGACAATGTGATACGGCAGCCCGCCACCGTAAGAGAGACTCAGATACACTATCGTGAAAAATCGACCGATCTTCGCAGATTTCTTCATAACCAGTCGATCCGTTTCGCATGCAGCATCCTTGTATTGGTTCTTCACCTCCACCAGAAAATGTCTGATTTGCTTCCCATTCAAAATCATGCTCCAGAACTTGGTGATCCCCAAAAGGCTGAATACTTGCGAGGCAAAAATGTTCATGTACCGCGACAGATCCTCGCAATCGTGAAAGGTATAAATCATATTCGGTATCAATAGAAAACACATTAGACTGAAGATTATTCCGACATGAAGGAACTTGATAACATTATTCAAGAACGTGTCGTCTTTGTACAACGGCCAGATACCGATCGGAGCTAACAGCGTTCTAGCGATCCAAATCGTATATTCGGTGTCCGACTCGTAATGGACGTTTCGATAATCTAGATTCCCGTTGTTATCCGTCATGTCACTCGACCATCTTTTTCGCCTTCCAAAAGAAGAGGAACGTCTCTCCAACTGAGCGTGTCCAGCAGTAATGTTGGCGGCAATCATCCATTGGCGCTTGCGTGAAAAGTTTCGTACGACAACTTTCCATAAACGATTCCGGCAACCTTAAAATTGAGTAAATTTTCCCACTATTACATTACACCGCAAATTGCGGAAGTAGAATTGGACATACAGATTGATAGTTTTATTTAGAAGTACAATCTCCAGCGATGTGCAGTCTAGAGGCGATTTCGCATAAATAAAATGCGATTCTACGTTCGAGAAACGTCCAGCCTTATTTTGGTAATTTTCCGCAATCTATCCCGGAAAGTTACTCTACGCATATTCGAGGCAAGAGTTTTAAGTTAAGTTTAAGTTTTAAGTTAAGAGTTTAAATTGAAATCATGATAGAAATCGGTCTCGTTCGCTGTACAATGACATTCTTCCCACTTCCATGGCATTCGAGTATTAGAACTATAATAGTTTCCCTTCTTACTTTTCCTGCTAAGATGTACGAACGAACACTGATTCGTCGAAGAAAGCATCGTATCGTTACACTCATTGATAAGGCTACATTTTTATATATTATTGCGAAATGCGATATCCATCGGTTAGTATTGTTAACGTAATTCAAGTGGCGATTACTACAACAGAATCGTTACAGTAGCTGTTTAGTTTAAGCGAAACTCTCGTTCGTACACCATGGAGGACGAATCGTCGAGTGAGTTATTGATATTAACCAAAGAATAACTTGGCATTCGAACATTTTGTGGTGTTTTTTAGAATCAATATGGTACCTGCAGAAGGGTACCACCACGATGTTCCTCGCGGAGGTGGTAGGAACAGCGGTACTTTTATTTATCGGTTGTATGGGCTCCGTGGGTACCATGGGATTGTCGATACCTCTACCGTTACAAACGTCTATCGCGTTTGGTATGACTGTCAATATGTTAATCATGGTAAGAATTACTTTTGACTGATTACTTGACACTGCTGTTTTATAAAAACCATTATTCTGAACGTATTGACTTGATGCAATGACGCGGCATTTTGATATGTATCGTACGTAACGTATGATCGTGTCTGGTCGGTGCCTCCTAATTTTACTGCGGCTATAGAGACCATGACTGTTGTTGTCGTAGATGGTGGGCCACATCAGCGGTGCACATTTCAATCCAGCTGTCACGATTGGAGCAGTTATTGTAGGACTTAAAACCATTCCAACGGGTATCGTTTACGTAGTGGGCCAGTTCATCGGTGCCATTATTGGATACGGACTGCTAGTGGTACGAATTATATTGTAGTTGACGCTGCTTTGATCGTGCACAGATTTAAATAGAATTTTATTCGAGCAGACAGTGACTCCACCCGAATTGCTCAGCGACGGGCACAACTCGTCGGCAGGCTTTTGCGTGACCGCTGTTTATTCTGGTGTCAGTATCGTGCAAGCGATTCTAATCGAAGCTCTATGCACGGCGATTGTACTTTGCACAGCATGCGCTACTTGGGATCCCAGATGCGCGCATACCGCGGATTCTACGGCTATCAGATTTGGTTTCTCTATCGTAGGGCTTTCACTTGCAGCGGTAAATATTTTTCTTGCCGGAATTCCCGAAACTTTCTAGAAATGTGTGACAAATAACATAAAATCGTGATCTCTAGAGCCCGTACACCGGTTGCAGCATGAACCCAGCGCGTAGCTTCGCTCCTGCGCTTTTCCAAGGAGATTGGAAGGATCAATGGGTGAGCTCAATCCGTATAATCGTTTGATTTATGAACTTGTTCAGTGATTTATAAATCCTTTGTGCGTAACGGATATCGTATCGATATAATTACATTAAGCTCTAATCTTCGACGCGCCTGATAACGAGCACAAACCTCTTCGTGGACTCGCGAAGAGAGGCGTGTCAATATTTGCTCTAATGGTACAGATTAGATTGGATTAGAAGCCACGATAATAACTTTTTAATTCAATTTTCTTCAGATTTATTGGATTGGACCGACCGTAGGAGCTTTACTTGGAACGTATACCTATCAGCTTCTTTTCTTGGAAAAGGAAACGGTCATGACTGCCGATGATCATTCTTTCATACAGATGAATTCGAGAAATTCCGACAGTATAAATATTCCATGTGACAAGATTAGAAATGAAAGGCTCGAAGTCACAAAAATGTAAAAAATCACTTCCGCACAATGTACCATGAACTTAACCGACTTCACGACTGAACCATCTAAGGGTACGACATTATATACCATGCACACAGTGTATTTGTTATCGTCCGCCGGTTAAGGTTTTCCACGATCCGCGACGTTTCAAGTAGTTTTGGACATTGCCAGTGACGTCGCTGTACGCGATCGACTGCTGCTACCTTCGATTCTCTTTTATTATATCGATATGTTTATGTTATTCGAATTGTATGAACATAAACGTTTCTATCGCGCTATGCAATTGAGAGAATAGACTATCAAAAGTCTACTATTTTTTGACAGTGTATAAATGTATTATAGCGACTAAAAAAATTATTAACGCTAAACTATCGCACACGTTTGTATACAGGGTGTCCCAAAAGTCGGGGAGGAGCCGGAAATGGGGAGTAGCTGAGACGATTCTGAACAACAATTTCCTTTGCAAAAATGTCGGATGGGGCTTCGTTAAGGAGATATTAACCGATATTAACCATTTTTGCAAAGGAAATTGTTGTTCAGAATCGTCTCAGCTACCCCCCATTTCCGGCTCCTCCCCGATTTTTGGGACACCCTGTATATAAAATTTGAAAATTCTTTAGGTCTTATCATTGAAATACACGCAAGTACAAGTGAGACAAATAGAAAGAATATTGTTTTGTAACTCAGCTAAGAACATTACCTGCCTCGATAAGGCAACGCCTAAGAATTCTTTCATTTCGATATGGATGTACCTCTCTCTGAGATTCCATAAAATAATACGCCATTTAAATGCATTACCCAAGCTATAAAGTATTTCCTTTTACGATCCTAGCATAGACCTCGGTAACTTAATTAACAGACATTTTATCAGGAAGTTTTTTATAATTTCTAGAAATGTTGTTACATGTCTATTCTTGTCGCGAGAATACTGCGCAGATGATTCCAGGGGTTGGCCGGAAACTAAATCGATAACGGGGTGGTTCGTAGACGCTTCTAGAATTTAAGGCTGAATTCGCACCTGTAGAACAGCTTTGAAACCATCCTCGTTAGTTATGTATAGCAAAGGCTGTACAAATTCTGACAAAAACTGTGAGAAAAAAGTATAAATGTCCACAGATAGCGCATAGCAAGTTGTGGTGTAAACTTTGTTTTCCCCGAGTTACATGTTGTTGCGCAACTCCTGGATTCATCAAACTAATATCAGACGTAAACCTATAATTATTAGTTTGCTGGAACGGGTTCATTTTTTTTTTTTTCTGTCACATAAATTGTACCTTCTAATTTTAATTGCGTCATTGTCGGATCCGAACCAGGTGCGGTGGTGCCATGTATTTTCTTGTGGTTGAAAACAAAATAGAACTTGGAGGCCCCAATTAAAGATAAATGAAATGATACAATTGTATGCTACACCTTATCGTGTATCAGTTGTTTGTTGCATCATTTTTATACGAATATACATATAACAAACGTATATACGGGTATACAACACGAGAGCTGCAACTATTGATTACCTGCTGCATCCGACCATAGAACGTTCGAGACTTCCACGTACATTTTTCGAAATACGCGATTTTCAATTTCAGTTTAACCAATGCGAAATCATCAATTGACGGAAATTAAGTATTCTTACTTGAGGGGGAAGTAGGTTTAGGACTACGTTTTTTTTTTAACGATTTGCATGACTTTTTTTTAGCAAGAAACGAATGTATAGAATTTAACGAAACTTTCAGGACATTTTATACATATGTTCAAGTAAATATTGTAATTTTTTGGATAGTGGTGGATAGTGCAAAAACCATCGAAGCATATTTTAACGAGTTCAACAAATAACACGAATTCAACCTCGAGGCGTTGTTGATATCTAGTCGACGAAAGTGTTGTTGCGCGTAATAGCGGACGATAAAGTGCAATTTGGAAGGCCGTAAGGTAAACGAACTCTATAAATGTCGCAATGCAGCGTCGCACGCAAAGATGTGCGTCGCTGCTTGCATCCCAGATTCTATATTTATCCTTTGGCCACGTCGTTGCACAGATGGCATCGCCAAATAAACCATAAGCAGATTTATTTAATATACGGTACATTTCGTACCCAGTCATACAGGTTTCATTTCAGGACGTTGTACGAAAGTGAACTAAAAATTCTGCAGATATAGGTGCGCGTAGTCTACATCTGCTTGGTCGCGACAACCGGCACGTCCGCTCTACTTTTCCGGTCTTTGTGTCTGCGAATCTGTCGAAGCATCTGCCCATCATTGTACTCATTTCCGCAAGGAGGAATCCTGTCCCAAAGTTGATCCTGCTCCGTTAGACGTAGCATTATTTCTTCGAATAATACACAAAGAAGATTTCGTAGGAATAACAACTTGGCCATGACCGGCATTTCCATTAGAAAAAAAAAAAAATAAAATAAAAAAAAATGAAATTAACTGTACGTTTCTCAGACGCGATGCGTACGAAGGAATCGAATAATGCGCAAAGAAAATCGATGCAGCTAAACCTGTCGCAAGGAACGTATTACTGTTACTTGCAAAAGCATCTGCCCAACCCATCGTATAATCATTGTACATATTTAAGCAATTTCAAAGCAGGAATTAATAATTTTAACTGCCCTCCGTTCAACTTTTACACGCAATTGCGCAGCTTGGAAGGCACGGCGTCCTATGGAATATTCGCGACGCAAATACGCATATTTTCGCTCGCAGGTCCACTGAACGAACTCCTTCACAGTGTTACGCAATATTGTCACAATGTTTTGCGATGAATTTTCATTTACCATCAGCTACGCGATGGATAGTCCCCTATCCTGCAGCCACGAAGACATTAAGGACATTCTTATCTCGCTTACCGTGGCTACCACGAATCAGAAAAAGCATCGTTCGCTGGTGATCCTGTCAAACGTAGACTCGCGCTGCAGAAGTCATCTAGAAATACCGTTTGATGCATTTCTAAAAGTAACGAATACGTAGCTAAGGCGACAGAAGATCCTAGAAGCAACAACGTTCTAGAAATTCAGATAGAAGTCGTCGCAGTTAAGGACGATCCCTGGCTGTCCTTGATTCCAGAAACTACGCACCGGGAGCAATCCAAGCCTCCAGGCCCAACGATCAAAATAAATAAATGCCGCGTGGTTACTCTCGCTTACATCACGTATACCACCTAACCGTTTAAGCGAGAGAAGGAAGGAGTGAAGTTGTGTATGTCATGGTGGGGTTCTAGCAGTGGAACGTGCCAGAAATCTCGTAGTACGTTCACCGATCAATACTTGGTATTTTCGTATTTTTTCCTTTGAACGCATGAAAATGCACGTAACCGCGATACAGAACGATAATTCTTGACACGAGGATTACGATGATATCGGCGGCCAATGGTTAAATGATCGCAAAAGTGTTGAAATATGAAAATAAAGGAATGTGCGCATTTGTCGGTGCGTCTCGAACATTCGACGCCGTGTCGCGGCGCTCGCCTATATAAGGGGGCCGAGCGGCTCGGCTCGGCGCATTCGTAAATTAACTTTCGTTCAGTTCGGACGTGAAGAACACCTGAAGACCCACCAACCAGTGAGCAATCCTGCGTTTCGTTTACATCGTCACCAGGCTGATGACAAGAAGACATTAAAATGTAGACGAGAGGGATCCGGTGCGGAACGCGACAGTTTCTCGTGGGTATTTCATTATTTATACAAATTTCATTTTTTTATAGTAGTTGTTTTGGTCTGTTGCGTTGTATGCCGCCGCTTCATCGATATTACTTTTCATTTGCGTAGATAGTTGATGTTACATGAATTTTATAGTGTCATATACTACGCTGAAATAAGTAAGTCCTTGCACCGTAAATCGGAAGTAATATCGGTGAGAGTACTTATCAGCGGTTACCTACTTAGGAAATCCAATCTCGTAAATAGTCGGACTTTACGATCATCGAAGACATTGTTTCCGTGCACTATGTTTTAAATGAACGATTCAAAAATATTCACGTAATCGTCAATTTGTAAGTTTATAGCACTGTATTGTTACAAAATTTTACCGAATACTGAACAACGTTATACTGTAGAAATGGTTCCATAAAAATTCGTATATAAAAATAAACTTGGCGATCAATTTTCTTGAAATTAACAATGTTTAGTCTTGCTCGGTGGTAGTCTCTATTTTGATCGATTTGCGCGCGGGTTTTCCAGTCTTCACAATTTCGATGATTCGTTCGGCTGCGCTAGGTGTCTCGACCTAAACAAAAGAAATAACCAATTACGATGGAAATCAACGAGGCTTGTATATATTTGTGTTTTTATAGTCCACCGTACGGGGTCGGTGCTTGAACTATCCGTACGCAATGATAAATTGGTCTGACTAGTTTGAAATTTCTTCGCATTTCAAACTGTTCAAGAAGAACACTTCGAGGCACATGAATTAGGTAAGCGGTCGTTGCACCGACGTATTTCAATTATATTAACATATTAAAAAAAAGTAGCTTCTTGAAAGTGAATATGCATTTTACATGAGGTTATAGCCTGTCCCGGTTACTAAAATCGTCCTACGTCCCCGTTAATAGGTTCTATAGTGCACTTTCACGATATCTGCCCCGATTTCTTAAGGGTGTCAGTACCGATTTTAAAGTATGAATTAAGATTCCGATGAGGAGCACTCGCTAGTTGAATCTTACCGATTTTAACCGATCTTAAGCTCCCCCATTTCGACATGACAAACCGTTGCACGCATTACGAATTGGAGCTTAATAGAATTCAGAGTTAAAGTCGATAAAGATGATAGTTTACGAATGTGCCTCATCCGCTTAAAACTCTTTAATCCAGCTAGATGTTCTTTTTATGGTTTAGAGCAGACTCATAGTTTGACCGAGGTAAATCGTCGGCACCATCTTCTTTAAACGAATATCTACCACAAGGGCACACGGAACATTGGAATTGAGAAAAACACAGAACTGAAACAAACAAAAAGCCGTGAAAGGGAGAGGATCGCTTTCCACGGCTCTAGCTTGCGAGTAGTAGGTGATATTTTTACCATAATGAAACGTGCTCGTTGATACGAGCCAAATATGCTGCATCTGATGGTTCTGGTGGCAGATTGCGTGATTCTTTTTTGTTAGTACTTGTGCGCTTGTGCACTTGCTATTGAGGTAATATGTCACATTAAAGAGAAGTCTTGTCAGTCTTGTAGGTCTATCAGCTTAAAGAGAAGTATAGAAAAACAGAAACAAAACTAAGCGGAGAGCGAACCGCGGTTATTGAGAAAAACGCAGAACTAAAACAAACAAAAAACCGTGAAAGGGAAAGGATCGCTTTCCACGACTCTAGCTTGCGAGTAGCAGGTGTTATTTTTACCATAAGAAACGTGCTCGTTGATACGCGTCAAACATGTTCCCTTGGGTGGGAAAGCCTATATTGTTCTGTTTAGTTGACGTATTAAAGAGAAGTCTATTCAGTTTTCTAAGTCTATCAGCTTAATGAGAAGTATAGAAAAACAAACAAAACTAAGCGGAGAGCGAACCGCGGTTATTGAGAAAAACGCAGAACTAAACCAAACAAAAAACCTTGAAAGGGAAAGGATCGCTTTCCACGACTCTAGCTCGCGAGTAGCAGGTGATATTTTTACAATAAGAAACGTGCACGTTGATACGCGCCAAACATGTTCTCTTGGGGGGGAAAGCCTATATTGTTCTGTTTAGTTGACATATTAAAGAGAAGTCTATTCAGTTTTCTAAGTCTATCAGCTTAATGAGAAGTATAGAAAAACAAACGAAACTAAGCGGAGAGCGAACCGCGGTTATTGAGAAAAAACGCAGAACTAAAACAAACGAAAAACCGTGAAAGGGAAAGGATCGCTTTCCACGACTCTAGCTCGCGAGTAGCAGGTGATATTTTTACCATAAGAAACGTGCTCGTTGATACGCGCCAAACATGTTCTCTTGGGTGGGAAAGCCTATATTGTTCTGTTTAGTTGACATATTAAAGAGAAGTCTATTCAGTTTTCTAGGTCTATAAGCTTAATGAGAAGTATAGAGAAACAGAAACAAAACTAAGCGGAGAGCGAGCCGTGGTTATTCAGGAGATCCTCGAAGGACCCTGAAAACCCGGCGAGCTTAGTTTCGATGGAAATAGTGAAAGAAACAGCGATTCTTACTTTTGTACCTTGAGCCAAGTAGAAGAGACCAAAAAATATAATGTCACACTTCGAGTGTATACAAAGAGACACTTCGCGACTGCATTTATGTACATAGACTTTCGTATCTGAATCGTGTTTCTACGATCCAATCATTGATCATTCGAGGAGCATTTATTTTTATATAGAGATTATTAATATACATAACAAAAGGGGAGAGATCCGAAAGTTTTAAGAGCAGTTTTAGCCCCGGGAGCAGGGCCCCCGTTCCGGGGTGCTTCGCTAATACACACATTTTCGGTTCTTTTTCCAAAACTTAGAAGACTGATTCGCTCGACGCGATCCATTTTTTCGGATTCCAAAGAGTCCTTGTTTGGCGTCGTTCGGCAATTTAACAGAACACAATAAAGGAAATTCTTTTTAGAATGGAGAAAAAGTATGAAAGAAAAAGAAGGATGGAGTAGATTTTGAAACCCGACAACAGAAAGAGATCATTTTCTCGCGACGCGACGCTGCATCATGCAGTCTGCGAAAAAAATGCCGACAAAAATCAGAAGTAGTAGTGGTAGCGGCAAAAATAGAAATCGGTTTTCGGGCCTTCTGGTGTTCCAGTTTCCTCGTTTGTTTCGTTAGCTGCGTCCTTTGAAAATTATTACTTTGAAAATTAATATTTCATTGATATTAATGTTTTGAACGTTGCGTTGACATTGGTTCTGATTCGTCGTTGCGGTAACTAAGTTTTTTTTTTATCACTCGGTTCTTCTTATTCTTTTTGTAAATCCTTCTTGCGAATGCGCCGTTTTTTTTCTTTTTTTTTCTTTTTCTTTTTTTTTTTTGTATGACCATAAACCTCAAAAGATTTTTACGAATCCGAGCAAAATAATAATTAAAGGAAAAGATTCACTTTAGATTCTCTCAGCCTAAGTTTTGCTAACTGCTAATTCGTAAAATAATGGCAAACATATACTGCTCCTCGTACCGAAAATTCAAAAAGCAAAGTTATTAACGAGTTCACGAGTTAAGAAAAGTATTTCGTAGCTTTCTGAATATTATACACAATCAATTCGTGGCTGATATACATACACGTTAATCCATAAGTTGAAATTACTATCGAGTTACTAAGTTACAATTTAAGCGTACCCGTATTATCGGCGTAGACTTAAGTATAGGGGTTGTGTGCGTGTGGCTGTGCGTAACGCAAAAGAGATTAAAGTATGCTCTAGTTTTATTCAGCTTCAAGTATAACATAGACACGTAGTCAAAGAGACACGATATCCGAACATTTAAACGTTTTCTTCTTTTTTCTAAAGAAGAGCAGGGGAAGAGTGCCTTTTTCTTTAAATTGATTTTGGACGCTTGCTTCTTTCGCGATAGTTCCTTTTCTCAGTTGATTTTACAAAAATCGTTTCTTTCGTTTAAACTCTCCATCGACTCGTGACACGTAACATTCCTTTTAATACACTCGAATTTCATTATTTGCATTAGTGGTACTTCCTTAAGCAATAATCGTCTAATAAAACCTAAGCTTCTGTTTTAATTCGTACATCCAGAACTAATTTTACTGTAGTCTCTACAAACGTCCGGTAAGAATAACAACGGCTATCCCATGACTTTCCGTTGCTGAAAGTTATGGGATAGCCGTTGTGAACTTCGTGGTGCTACGTATAAGGACGATATTGAATTACTAATTTATGAACGACGAAATAACGCAGATGCAGCTTGAAGTGACGTTTGAAATCGCGTTAGAAGCTTCCTCCAGATTTAAAGAAATATCATGAGAAGTAACCTGTACTCTTAAACAAATTCGCTTGATCCCAGGAAGAGAATAATCGCGACGATGGAATTTGACCTTTCACCAATTGAAAAAAATACGATCGATTTTTTGTCTTTGCTTTAATGCTAAGTTTTGGCCTCATCGTTCGGTTCTATACCGAACTGACGCACAATCAATACACGTTCAATACTCATTTGTGGGGGATTCCCGTTGCACAAGTTCGGGACTTTAAGAACATAACGGAACATCGTTCTCTGTAGCAGTCGACCTTTTTACACTATTCACTACTATCTTTGATGTATCGCTAGCGATAAGTCTTGGATGAACAAATCCAAAGAATTCGAGAAATCGTGACGATTTATGTCAACGATAATCTCGAAGCTCTCGTCGACCTGAGGTCGTCTTTGATATTTTGAAATTAAATACAAAATTCCGACTGTAAACTCGCAGGGTGTACACATAGAGATCGAAGCATGCTATGTCTCTCCTCGAAAGAAATAAAATCTACATAAAATCTCATTGCCACTCGACAACTTTCAGAGATAATCGGTAAACTGTATGGCAATCGACTACTGCAACCGATTCGTTCAACGGTTGTCGCATATATCGCTTGCTTATTAGCCCTCGTATCGAAAAAAGATTGAATTTACCCACGAACGGATATCCCATCACTTCTTACACGCAGCAAACTGGTTGAAGTTACGACACATAAACCGACTTAAAACATTTGAGATCGCGTGCCATTCAAATTAATAAAAAAATCTAAAAAAAAAAAAAGTAACCTTCGTTAATAAAATTCGACTTATCGAACAGTTTTAGAGTTTATTAGTTACAAGTCGTATAGTAACAGCTTATCAGCGGCCGTAGCCTTTCGATCTATCATATTTTGACCCATATCCATAGTTACCACTCGACTGAGAAGGTAAATCGCAACCATACCCGTTGCCTCCGGCAATAGGTGTAGGTGCGTACCGTCGAGTGATAACTATGGATATGGCTCGCGATTCTCTAAGCACGCAATTAATTCTCCCAGTTATCGAAATAACGAAAGACCAATTTCGAAAGGATCTATTTGTAGATCCCTGGATCTTCGTAAACACATGAACATCACTTTTTGAGGGCTTCGCAAGTTTCGAACTCGCTCTGAGATCGAGCGATAATCATCCCCTCGGTTCAATATCGCACAGTTTGCTCGTAGAAAGGATCGAGTCGCTAACCTGGAAGTTGTCTTTGTTGTCGAATTGAACCGTGCTAGATCCGCTCGAGCGCTGACGTACATCGTTCCTCCACGAACGGTAGTACCTGCTGCCAAGAATGGACCGCAGAGGCCTGTCTAGGCTAAGGTCGTAGAACCTTGACACCAGGTCGTCTCGGTCTAGTCCTCTGGCGAAGTGTTGGTCCGTCAATCTGGACACCGGTCGATCGAAGTCGTCCCACCAGTCGCGATATATCAAAGGTACCACAGGCATCTGTGGACTCCCATAAATAAAAAAAAAAACTCTGACTCTGGGAAAACGTTCTTGCTTTTCGTCTCGGAAACGTGGAATACGAAGGAAAGAGGTACAATGACTGTTCGAGGACAAAGATAAAACGCGTTTGACGAAATATCGCGATCGAAGATTCGTTCAGCTTTAAAGCGATTCGATAGCTGCCGTTATCGCGGCAGACGCGATCTTGTAATTCTATTTCGTGTAACGAGCATCAAATTCGCTAAAATATAATATGATCGAAATTCTTCCTTTCTAGGATTTTTCTCGTGAGTTGAGAATAACCGACGTTTCGTAATTCTCAAGAACACGAAATTATCGATACGAAAAACTGCTGGACACCCCTAAAAATTCTTGATGTAATCACATAATGTACACATAGGAATATCGATTCCAAAACAATTACTTGTTTCCGCGTTTTACGAGCGCGCTGGTCATAAACATATATGCATAACTCATACTTAAATAGACGATTAGGAGACCAGTCGACAGCAGATTCCAAGGAAACACGTTGCTCTGGTAATATACCGCACTTTTTTTTTTTTGTTAGTTTATGTTTAATCGGTCATTTAAACGCTATACGAAGATTAACGAGCCTAACACATCCGGCTAATAGCGGAACAAAATTTTAACGACAACGTGTACCCAGAACGAACTAGTCGACTACGCTAGACCACTAAACCACTTTTGACGTGTTAAAGTAAACAAAACGATGCATCTCCATCGGATGCACAGCATTAAAGTCCGCGTTATCTTTTAGGGTTACGTGTAGGAGCTAGGTTTAGCGACAGGAGAACACGGTATAAGACATTTTAATCATTAGCGGAATAGCAGAATCGCGAAGGTTGCTAGAGGGCATAACATAAGACCAGGTATACATTACTATTATTTGTGATTTCGAAAATAGGTCGAAGAACACTGAGAAGACAAGTTATTAGATCGTACAGAGTCTGACCATTAAGATACTCTAGTTGCCATAAATGATAAACTCGAACGACATCCAGAGTTTGAAAAGAAACAGTAAAAACAAAGATGGAAGTTGTTGAACGCTTCGTATGGTATCGTAACGGGTAGACTTAGCTGTTAAAAATCAATGCTTTTCGACGTATTTAACGAATAGGTTAGTTTGCTCTAAGTTGTTTGATATTAATAACTATGGATAAGACGTATCATTGATAATATCGGTGGGGAAAACTTTGTTAGAGCTTAGCGAGGGGAAACATATCGTATAGGTGTGATAGGTGATGGTTATGAAATCAGTCATTTTGGAGATTGCACTCTGCGTTGAAAACCATCTCTTCGCACAGGGATGATCGATTTTAGAGAGGCGACGAGAAAGATACGTTTAGGACACGACATACCGTCTTTTAGGGTTAATAAGGATTCGACCTCCTTTGGAGTTTAGTAACGGACGCACGGACACTTGGATTACATGTAAATCGTGGTAAATGTATACTAGTCTTTAAGTACCGTTTAGGATTCTCACTATATTTAGGTTACTACTTCGCTGAAAGCGTTGTTTATACGTTTCTTTAGTCAGACGAAAGCAAGAACACCCCCCCCGATCGCGACTACACATCACCAACAGAGTACTACCGTGATTGTTTTTTGGGAACGTTGATTCGGTTGGTAACTCGAGAGACGACACTCCGATTTTCTGTCCGTTGAAACGGGTAGAACCGGTACAAGGAGGAATTCAACTATCTGATTCGGTCGCGGAGTCGAGGGAGTCTTAAATAGTCGTCCCGATTCCGATACTCCCACGGTCTTTGCGTGACGTACACACTGAGTTTTCATCTTAAAATACGCCCTATGAATGTTAAAGGCACCGGGAGGGCAGGGGTTCTCGTGAGTACCAAACGTGATTCAGTCTTCGGTAATTTTGGCACTCTGAGACACTTCTGTTAGTGTTACGAATTCGTGGAGGCGTCGTAGCATTGCTAAATCCAGGAAATACCGTGCAGCTTTTCGAAATATTTTCCGTTCGGATCTTTTCCCGCTTCTATCGAGGCAAGAGCAAAGAGCAAAGAGTAATAGACGAAAAGGGTGATTCTAACGCATACCGATCGATCGTTTCGCAATGTCAACCTTACGTGCACCACGCGATTGCTGCTACAATCAATTTGCACGTCCTCCGCTATCGTAGGAGGAGTTTCGGATCTACCTGCTACGAGTAGCTTGTATTTAACTAACGTGGCGGGTGTACGTGTTGATTGAAATACTAAACACGCGATAATTAAATACCGAACGGATCACTTTGCCTACTTATTTTTTATCGAACTAAAATCGAGCTGTTAGCAGCACTTTGTGCCTAGCTTTAAGCTATTATAAAAGTTCTCGATGTCTGCTCGCATTATGCACGTTAACCACCCAGTATAAAAAGCTCGTCGACCTTTTCTTCCATCGTAACCTTTGACCACGCGATTTTTATTATCTTTCCGTAATACACGTGATATGCGTAATCTTGCAACCGTAACCTTATTCGATTTTACAGTTGAAATGTGTCTACTTTTAACGAAGAGTGTCTAATATTTGAACGTATATATACATATATATGCGCGTTACATTACGATACGAAATATACCTAAAGCGAGGATAATAACAAACGTTTGTTTTCGTAAGGAAAATTACGTAAGAAAAAATGAAAAGAAAAAAAAATGATGAGTTTTGAGCTAGTCAATTCTCATCGCCAAAAAAAAAAAACAAAAAAAAAAACACAACTTCAATTAGAATTTATGTTTTAATCGATTATTGATTATTTACGATACTTTATTATACCATATCGTTGCATGTTACTCACTAGGATACGTGTTATTTGGCGAATGCTTAGCGACAAGTGCGAGTAATACATAACAAGATTAATATGAAAATTGTGCATTTAAAAATTCCTTTATAATATATGACGTTATTACTAATACCTACGCATTGTAACACAAAAGAAAAGCAAATATCGGTACCCCAACTATAATCGAAAGCAACAAAGTCTCTTCTACCGGAACGAAGAATAAAAATGATTAAAAGATCGATACTTACATACGTGAGCGCTTGTAGCGGGTAAGGTGTATGTATATAATTTACTTTTTAAGTTGATTCAGCATCTCAAGATAAGTTACATTGTGCGGCATTATATAGTGATAATAATAGGATTAATATGATTAATAACGATTAGGTAACGTTATGGCGCAATCGACCAAACGCACATTAATCGATAAATCCTAATATTTATTTATCTGTTGTCACGGTAATATGCAAAAAAGCTGTGTCTCTATTGCCTATTAGATTGGAAACTACGTGTCTCTTTGATACTGGATAAAACAACTTCAATTATTCGTATACCGGAATGGAGAAAGGAAATACTTTTTAAGATCTAATCTCTGCGTGTGCTTTACATGTACATATATATACAAGCGTATATATTGTGAAATAGTGTTTGTATAATTCCTTGTACTTTGTGACTTAGTAACAAGTTTGTATTGATTCTTGTAACATTTACAAGTGGCTTTCACCGATTGCGCTACGTTTTGCTACGTTCTTTACGTTACAATAACGAAAACTATTGCTAGATCTTAAAGAACCATAATGCGTAAGCATATTTGACGCTTAAACTAAGGCAGTACTAAAACGAATTATGTTTTCCTCGTGTAGGCATCATATATATACACATATATAAAAGCAGACTATGTAACTGTATAAGTGTGCGTCGTTCACTGAAACATTTATAAAAATTATATATGGAAAATGTTTGCCGATCCGGAAATACGTATTACATCTTATTTTATACTGTAACATTTTGCAACACCTAGCGATTAGTATTCGAATCTTTTATTGGCTGAGAAACAATAAAGTGAATATCCGATATAAAGAGTTCTTTTCAATTCGAAAGTAAAACCAGCCCTTCCTTGGAGAGAACAGATGGTATTAATGTTAAGTATTAAACAAATTTTAAATGGAAAAACCTGAATTAAAATTCAGCTTGGTAGCATAACAGATGAATCATTTAACTCGATGAGCCAAGCAAAAGGTTTCTAAAATGCTGAAGGTGGCATGTATGGACGAAGTATCTAATAATTCTCTATGTTGACATTCAAGGAAAGAACTGAGCGAATAATATATTGTAGGAGTCTAAACGAAAAATAAGGCACGGGGATTCGAAGCCACGATCCTCCGATCCACAGTCGACCGCTTTACATACGCGACCAATCCCGTACTCTACGTTTCGTGTTCTTATTTGACTCCTTATTGTTGGATATGGGAGG